TCATGCCCCTCAGCAACCCTGAAAATCCCATAATTAAAGCAAGCTAGTGAAATTCTTTTTTTTTTTTTTTTTTTTTTTTGGTATCACTAGGAGCGTTCTCCTCAGGAAGTTTTCTTTGAGCATATATCCCTCATCTCTGCTATGTGCAAATTCAGCGTTCAGGAAGAGGCTGACTTGACAGCTCTGTAGGCTTAAGTCAGCTGTCAATCAACAGCACAGTGATAGCACACACTGAACAGGCAGCACAGCTCCACATATAACCAGCCTCTGATTTGGTTCCAGAGCCCCTACCACCCTCCTTTAGTTTTATAATAAATACATAAGACTTATCCAGTTCCCTTACTGATGTACAAGAAGGTCTTTCCAGACCAGCAAAAAACCTCAAAGTGCAGAGATCAGATAAGATTCTTGAGAAGCAAAGAATTCATGAAGAGATGTGAAGATGCAGGCAATCTGAAAGAGAAAAGGGAAGCAAAACGTTTGATCAGCAAACTTCTCTGAAGCTGTCTACATAGAGCAGGACTCTTAGATGTTGGGACATTTAGCTTTTATCTCAGCATAGGTGAATTCACCTTCAGGTTACATAGGAACTGAGTTAAGCACACCCCTCAGGGGCACCTGTTTGGAGTATTCAAAAATCTATGAGCTGGTACCCTTCACAGCTGTGGAAAGCATGCTTTTAGGGTATCAGCTACTGTTAGTCTAAATGCTCTGAAGTGGAGTTCAGCCCTTTCAAAGCTTCAGTGCATGCCTGTGTCGTTGTCCCACACTGTTTGCTCAGATTTTCTCAGTGTCTCCTTGCACCATCTGACTTGGTTCTTTGTCTGCAGGTGGGCACTTGTACAGTCCCAGACAGGGAAGTGGAGTAGCACAATATTATGGAAAAAAAAGCCAAACAAACATAATAGTAGACATCCATATTTGCCATGCTCAGATGAGTCTGTCTTATGAAATCCAGTTAATTCCTACTGGCTTTATCTTCTGATGGAGGAAAAAAGAACTTGGTCCAGACATGCAAGTAAGTGACAATATAGATTTAGACCAAATCTGTCAGTATCAAAGTATGTGTTATTCTAGTATTAATTTCTAAAAAAAGGAGGAACACAAGGGGGGGAAGCTCCAGGTATAGGCAGTAGATACTATAGTTTGGGAAGTTAGTACAGAAGTCTGAGAACTGCCACACAGTTTGAATGACAGACAGAACTGAAATCAAGCTGATATGAGAGCTAAAGAGACAGCTAAATATTCCGAACAAAGATCTGACAGCTGGGAAATTATCTGATGGTACTGAATACAGAAGAACTGTGATGTGAGATCCTGTCAATAAAGGCCCAGGATCTGAAAGCTGGGGGTGCCCCAAGCATGCTCAATTTGGGACACTGAGCTAAACATGTGCCACACACACTTGATGGACAACTGCACTGGCAAGGGACATGGGAGAGGTCAATTTTTACTGCCAGTGGATGTAGCTGGCATTACTCCTTACTGATCTCTGCTTTTCCAGTTCTCAGTAGAATACGCACGCTAGTACCACTAGGCTATTTTTCCTTAATGGTATAGCAAAATAGCTGTTTAATCAGAGATGTTTGACAGCTTCTTCATTTGAGTTTTATACTATGCGGAGTAAGTATCTTATATGTTGTGAATCTGATCTTCTAAACTTGCAATAAGACTAGTGGTGGTGCTACCATCTTTGCCTGTTAAGAATGAAGAGTTCAGGAGGAAACATTTCATTGAATACCACAGGCCACGGATGCGATTCGCAAGATTTCTTTACAGTCAGCTGCTCATCCATCAATGTCACTTCCATTTATTTAGTGAATTGTAATCTGGTGTCAGAAACAGCGTGTAATGACTGCATTACCCACGACTGATGACCTTATCTACAGTTCTGGTTGCATTCCAGCAAACAGGAGCGACATCTGGAGACCTAACCTCTCAGAACAGTTTCATAGTACAAATTCTCTCCGTATTATATATAACATCACTCAACTAAATATTGACTTATTTGACTTACTGTATTTTGACTCAAATGCTGTTTTCCATCAACAACTGTAGCTCTGATTAGCAATATAACAGATGTGCTCTGCTAAGTAAAATGACAAAATACTACAAATTTTGTAGAACTTTCAACTAGCAAGGATCTTTGAAAAATTCTAGTTCCTAAAGGGTCTCACCATGTAAAAGTTTACTTAATGGTTTGTTTTTATATAGTGTGAACGGTATTGCTTGATTTCAACAGTCCTCTTACCAGATCATGAATTGGGCATATGTGTAACTCTCTGCTAGATGAACCTAGCTAGACAGCTGACTGCAGTTACCTAAGCAAACACAGCAATGCCTTCTTTGTTTCTTCTTAACACACATACTACCTTCAGAGACATTGATGAAAAAGTTTCCAAATTAGTCAGGGAATACACCAAATTGGAAAAGAAGAACATGCTTAAATACAAACGACAATGTAAAATGGTATGTTCTGGCTAAAGCAGGCCAATCTAGCTGCTGGTTGCAACCACAAAACCTCACTGTAAATGGGGGCTGTACCCACAAAGACCAAAATATCTGTTCTATTGAAGCTACTACAAAAGTTAATCTTCTGTACTGGCTCACATACAACCATTTCCACTATGAATTCATAGGATCAAACACACATTTCCAAGTGCTAATCAGGTTCTCCCAGGGATGGCACCAACATGTTCCCATGGTATTTGAAGGGCTGCATACTCCACCAAGTGGTCAGCCATTTCACTGCACTTTTGTCACCAGCCAAGAGAACCGTTTTGCTGGCCACCTCATAAAGGGGAACAAGGTGAGTGTAGTACCAAAAATTATATGGAAAACAGATGACTAAATAGTATGGGATGAAGTGAGCTATTTTCCTTTTCTAGTAAGTCCTACAATCCTCCAAATGCCTTGGGACCAAGTGTTTCAGCTCCTGGTACATTCCAGGAGCCTCCATGCCTTCTTTTAGGGAGAGGAGAGCACCCACCAGCTTTTCTCTGAAGAGCTCTAAGCAGTTGGGAAGGCTTATGTTTGCCTCAGATTACAACATGTGATGGCATCTGGCAGCCTCCTGGAAGCATTAAGGGTGCTAGAAAGCATCTGGCAGCTACCAGGCCTCTAGGTCATTTCTGTCCTGTTCTTCAGGTAGAGATCTCCAGTCTTGACAGGAGATCCTGAATACAACAAAACATTTAAGATACCTAATTGTTCTGTAGACCTGAGAACTTGTGAGGGGACCAGCAATGGGTCTGGGTAAGCAGACAACCATGTGAAAAGGTAACCTAGTGTAGTAGCTACAGTTATTTCCAACTCCTACCCCAAAAAGCCCTGCCAAGAGACACACAAACATTCCTCTCTGGCTCTAGCAACCAAACAACAACACACCTCAGACTCTTGAAGGGAAAGACCATTGTCTCACGCAAGTGACCTCTCAATGTCTGCACACACCCTCAATTTATTAAAATAAAGACTGCTATTTTGCAAATCATCTAGCAGCTGCTCTTGCCTGAGGGCACACCAACCAGTATATTTTCCTTAGGCTCACTCGCCCACAGCACACAATATGTGAACTGTTTGGTAATTTGATCCTTACTGCTTTAAATATATTTTTTAGTTTTGTTTACTTTGCTCTGAGATGGACTACACAACATCTGAATAGGTGTGCTCCATCTGTGATTTTATTCTAGCTGACTACAAGGAGTGCAATTCCTGTATTTTGCTGCATTTAACAGCAAGATCTGGGACAGAGTAGTAAAATTAGAACATGCTATACCATGCTAACGCCAAACAGTGATTACTTGTTGCATCTCAAAACAGATTGTGTGAGCTGAGTCCAAGTCAGCTGACTAATAGGAGCTAAAGGACAGAACAAAAATATTTATGCATGAGAATGTAGGTGCAGCATCATTACTGCTGTGACCATCGACAGATCAAATTGGCTGGGGGGTTAATGGTGATCAGCATAGTCTAGCTGTGCCAATGACAGTATGTCCTATGACATTCTATGCCCAAGGGAGAGGAATAAGATTAGACCTATTGCACTTACTAAAAATGTGTTTTAAAAGGGTCTGGATTTGCATTGTTAAAGTTCTCCTGAACACAGTTCAAGCAGACAACAAGAAGGAGAGCAATTATTAGGTGCCAATACTCCAGCTGCTGGACGATTGCACGTGTTTACATAGCATTATGCCTCAGTCCTTGCTAAGCCAATGCTATCAGACTTTTCATGACAGTTTCAGTTGCTGGAGTAACTGGCAGGTTGCTATTTATTTAGGATTCTGACAGCTGGAACAAGCTGTTGTGCCTCCTAGCAGACACTGATAAAGAACAGTCACTTTGTGTTCTTTAGCAGAAGTCAAATATGTCTGATCAAGTCTCTCCTTGACAGTATACTGTGTAAAAAATATTGTTTCACAAGACAAAAGGTCTCTGCAAGACTTAAAAAAGCTATCTAGAAAATGCAGTGAAGATATTGGTTCTAGTTTGTATAGCCTTCTTTTAAAAACGATTACCTTTCAGAATTATGCTATTACTGTTCTAGTGACATCCTGCTTTTCATTCTCCAGCCTATGCTCAAAAGCTTGTATGAGACTTCAGTTCATTAGGACTCTTCTGTACAAGATGGTATTAATAAGGCTTGAATTGAATTCCAGCAGAAATTTTTACTGGATGTGCTTTAGATGTTAAAGCCAGGGAAAAAAACTTGAGTCATTAAAAGAGAACGAAAACAACAAATGGCCAGATGAAAGAGGTCAAATCCTCCCCTGGAGGGGGGTGGTGGAAGCCTGAGGAATTTTGGATCCTAACTCAGGCGTCTCATCTCACTGAGATGATGGACTGTAGACCCTATTGTGCAGGCCTTCTATCCTGGCCAACTTCGTGTCTTCGGCTTCTAATCCAGCCAGGTGGCTCAAGCAGAGGCCTGAGGACAAAGGAAGGAACATTCCACAGCCTCATGAAAAAGGCTTGCTTTCTGAAAGGAACAAACAACCAATCCATCAAGATGCAAATCAGTTTTAGTCTTGGTCTGTGAACAGACAAGAGAACATTTGGAGTAAGGCAGCTTTTTTACAAAAGCACAAAATCCTTCCAAGACAAAGGCAAAGGCTTATTGCTAGTTGTTTATGACAGAGGAGTTCCTTCTGGAAGAGTCATTACAAACAGTATTGAGGCAGCAAATCATATCTTTCTAATTCAAAAGAAACAACTCATTCAAGGAGAAATATGCCTTTTCATAAATGCTTTCACACATCATCAAGATCAGAGAAGCTGTGTGTCCAAGTACCAGTTGTTCCTGCTGCGGCTTATTTGTTCTGGACTCACATTCTGCAGTAACACAGCGCTCAGCAGGAGGCCATACCAGCTGGCCTCCCCTTCCCTAGTGCATCTGTTGGGTCACCATCCTGACCATTTTCAGTGCCATCTCTCCTTGATCAGACGGTACCTAGTATGGAGATGAGAGCACATGGTCAGCAGCTGCTGTAAAGAAGCAGGGAACGACAATACATGCATGCTCAGTTGCCTTGCAGGTATCGGTGCATCCTACCCCAATAGGTCTGTTATTTACCATGTGCCCAGCCTTAAGAATCCAGAAGAAAGCAAAGTTCTTATAGGCTTTGTGGAAAGCAGCTGTATCCGTGGATTCTGGAGACACATAAAGTGCCTTCCACCTCTGTTGGCTGAACTGGTCCAAACAGGGCCATTTCAGTTTCCGAATCCATGCCTCCTGGCCTGTTAAGAGATATGAGATTTAACAGAACGTTTCCATGTGCTCAGATTCTAAAAACAATTTTGCTCTGCCTAGAGGAGTGACCAAGGCTGCAAACAATCCAGGACAAGCAGAAACAAACCAATGGAGAGGGAAGGGAAAAAGCAAACTGAAAATGTATGTGAAATGGAGTTATGGTGATTTTTTATAGTTGGCTGTAGGAAATCTTCCAGCTTCAAGGTACCAGCCCACTGCTGGACTCCCTCCCAGTCCAGCTGTGGTCCCAGCAACAGCTGGATTTTTTCATAAGCCTTTATTTCTATGCTCAACACTAGCAATAGGCAGGTTTGGGTAGACAAGTGGCACACGCACCTCTTACAGGCTCTGCAGCCCTACCAATTCTGACATGTTTTGCTCAAACACCTTGAATGTCCTGCAATGGCGGAGAATCAACCCCTCTTGGAAATCCAAAGAGACACTTGCCACATGGGTTACTGCTTCTTTGCTTGCTACAGTCACTCAGCAAGAAGAGCCTAAGAAAGACTCTTTTCAGATCCCTGCTAGAGAAGGTGGAAGTCAAGGCAGCAAGAAGGCCAACTCCAGGACACCAAGGGGAGAAAAGGCTTATTTTTAGCCTACCTCTGAGCTACTGGAAGAATTTACACATGAACTGAAGCTAAATTTTAGCTCAAAATATGATAAAATGGAGCACCACTAACTGCTAATCTGTTTTGACAGCCTAAATACTCTGTTTTCTGACATATTGATTGCCATGTTGTTCATGAAGGGCACGTGAATATCTAAGTGGGCAAAGAAACAAAGAATAAAGCCATTTGCAACACAAAAAGATGTTTATGCAGACTGTAGCTGCAGATTATCTGCATCAATAGAAAAGGCAAATGGAAGAGAGCATGGGCAGCACAAGGCGTTCCAGCAACACTTGGCCTGGCTCCCGCACTGCCACTTCATCAAGTCTGCATCTTGCAAGCAGCAAGGGACAAAGCCCTGCCAAAATGTGCAGGTGCCTACAAATGTTACTGAGCAGCAGGTGCGACCATGCTTCAACTGCACCCTCATGGACTAATTACCAACACCCTCACTGCATCTGATCTGGCATCATGCTCTCTGCTGCAGGCTGCTCAGTGAAGGCTGACCCGTGTTCTGCATCAATCTGTAGCAGGATATGGCCTTTGCCCCACAGGACAGGATTTTCAAGGCAGAGCAGGAGAGGAGAGGACAATCTCCAAATATTTATTAATTTATTCTCAGTCTTCGTTTATGAAAAACTGTACTTATATACACACACCTGCCCAGAATAATTCAGTGGGTTATTAGCTACCTGCTTATGGGTTTCATTGAAACAAGAAAGTACTGATGTTGCATATCTATTTCCCAACACTATAATTATAATGGAAGTAGGGAAATTGCCTCTCTCACAGGGGTGTAAGCAAAACATAAGAGCTGCTCATTTATGACTGAAGTATTTAAGCGCTGCAAGTTACATAGGAGGTTTGCAGAAGACATCCAGGTACAAGTATTACTCGTGATGACATGACATGTCCTACTCATAACCTGTTCTGTTCCCGACCTCAGTCACAAAGTCCCTTACTTACCCATGGTGTCAACAATGAGATCCAGCTGCCCGTTATAGACTGTAACATTGACATTGGCTGCTAAAAGCTGATCAACAATGTCAACGACAGGCTTCATGAAGTCCTCAGCCATGTTCTCAAAGACGTTTGTGGACTGACCTAGTTAGAAACAGAAAGGAGACAAATTTTAACTGATGAATGATGGCATCCCCAAGCTGGGACAGAAACAACTGGCCAGAGGTCTCAAAACACAGTTCATAGCTACATAAAATCCAGCTCTAGCACGAAGTATCAGCCTGTGATTTATCAGTCTGAGGAACTAAAGAGAACCAGAAAGCAGCCACACTCCCACTGGAGCTAATACAGCACTGTTGTTTCTAGCTCCTATTACACATATACAGGGTGCTGGCATCAGTTCTTTTTGCTTTTCCTTTGTTTTTTTCCTCTCTCCTCCACACCATGCAGCAGTTCATGATACCATCCTTCTGGCAAAGAAAAACTGACAGAAATTCTTTCAGCAAGGCTGTGAGGACAAATATCAGATGCTGAGATGTGGGAGATCATCTTCCACTCATGAACTCATCTGCTTGGCTAAAGACAGATACAAGCAGCAGAACCAGAACCATGTCTGCTATCACTGATTTGCCCATTACATTTTCATTTGTGAGAGTAAGTCCGCTTCTTAGGATGAAAGACAATGAAAATTTAATGTGACTGCTAACTACCAAAAAATTTCCTCCTTTGGACTTTAATACAGTGGAAGGCAATAATATATTCATTAGATCCACACTAGAAGATAGGAAAGTACCTCCCCATTTCACACAGTCAGGAATAATTTTTAGCTTCTTTCTGATGGGTCCATTCATCAATTCATTTAGGCTGTTCTTATGCATATTTTTGACATGGCGTTGGTAAAGTCTAACTGGAAAAGAGAAAAAAATGCTTTGAGTAGTTGCACATTTAAGACAGCCATCCTGCACAGGTAAGAATTTTCAGTGTTACGGTCACAGCCATCAAACTCTTCTAGTGAAAACTAACACCATAAAGAACAATTTGTTTACTTTTACTAGAACCCCCTGAAGTCAACCCTTATTTAGGTCATGGGATAAAACGGGAAGAGCCCAACCATCCATTTCTGCTTTTAGCTAACACACTACTTTTTCAGTTTCTGCTTTAGCCACTTGGCACAGTTTCTTCTCCTCAGCAGACCAGTTATTTTAAAGTTATAATGCTTTACTCTAGGGAGCTGACTGTGCTGTTCACCTTCCCAGCTGAAGCCAAGAGAGAAAGAGCTTGAAAGAAATTCTGTACATGTGCTTATTTTCACACAGATGCATAAGCACCACGAAGCCAGAGAGTCTAATCAGAATGTTTACGTGAATGGGACATTTTTGTATCCTAGCTTGAAGACAAATGAAAGGCATTAACAGGAAGTAACTTAGAGGTCATAAAACTTGTGTCGCAATTACACTACTTCCTTGGAGTAATCTGTGCAGAATGTGTAGGTGGAGATGTAATCTATAGGGGGGTTACTCCACATTCCTATTCATCCCTATCTATGCAAGAGCTATCAAGCTCTGCTCAGGAGAAAATCCTTTGGATCTGACGGTCCCATTTTAAGGACGTGCTAAACTGAAGCTGTTCCCACTATTGGAGTTGATGGTATGTGAATGCAACCAGAGCCTCAGAAGTTCAAGTACTTAAATCCAACTTACTGAGATGAAGATTTTCTTGTTCATTTGTGTTCATTTCTGGAACTTCCTTAGTCATGATGTTATAAAAGTTCACATTGTCTGTGTTCTGAAAACACAAGATAGTTTTTGTAACAGTGTTACTGAAACATTTCTCAGATCTGAGGAACAGAATTCCTTCTGAAAAGAAGAGGTAAGGCCTAAATAAAGGACCCTGTGACCTACTACTTGTCTACATATCAGGAAATTATTTATGGAAAAGCTTTGGCTCTACATTTGCTTTGAGAATGGTAAAGAGTTTTCTCAAGTCTCTGTTCACATGTGGTTTGTGCCAGAGATGCTACTTCTCTAAAAAAGGTGTGAAGCTACAGAAAGCCCTACAGCCTGCAAATGACTGCAGATTCTCATAACTCATTACAGAGATAGTTACAAGCGATACTTTCAAATGCCCTGTTCTGCTAGATCTAGTCTAGCCCAATGCTGAGCTCTTGCTCGACATCCTCCCACCCTAAAACCCTTCAATATCCCAAATGCCTCCTTAAGACAGTGGTGATAGGTATCCATCATCCCTCTTTTGGAACTGCTGACATCTAGACAAGTCTGAGAATCATTAAATGACAGCTCCGATACAGACAGTAGACTGACTATGTCCAAAGAGTGATCAGTGTGATCACCATTGCTATTAGCGAAGTTACTCAAGATTCTTGAAGCTCCCCTTTACTTAATTGTCAAATCTTAAAAGTTATGAGTCTCAGGTTAGGAATGAGCTCACAACAGCCACCCTACTGGAACTGAAATGCCTGCACCCTTACAGTGATCAGAGCCAGAATGGAAAGACAAACATGTTTGAAGAGAAAGGCAAAATGGGAACCACAAGTTTCTACCAAGAAGTAAGAAGTGAAACCAACTGTGTGCAAAGTACTGAGAAAGAAAGAGGGGGGTGGGACGCAGCTCAAGATTAGTCTTTCGGTTTGAGGAAGCCATAATTTTGCTTGCACTAAAACTACAAATACAAGAAAAGATTGAAATTTTGGAGCAACCCTTTAACAGGAAAAATTAGAACAAAATTTTACCTAGTTTTTAAATTTGAACTTGTTAAGTACTAAGATGCATTTACCCACAGTAACAGAATATAATTTGATGTTCCTTTTCATCTTATGCTCCTATTGTACTTTTTTAAATAGAAGATTTAAACTTAACTTGAAATGTGTGCCTTGCTGGATGTAGTTTTCAACAGTCAAAACAAAGCTTTCAAGGAGACATAGCTTGTTCAAGTTGAGCGTAGGTTCTATAGAAATCAGTGGGACTAGTGGCATGCTAAAAATTAGGCATCTACTTAAATGATGTGGCGAGTTGAAACCTTTGTGCAATACTGCAAGCCCATCAGGATTGCTCCTCCCACTGCCTCTTATAATCACACAGCAGCACACAGCAAACAAACAGTTCTTTTACAGCAGCAGTATCATAAAACACATACTGGTGGAAGTGACTGGTCAGGGTTTGGAGGATGCACACCAAGCCAGTGCTCATAGAAAAGAAAAGCTGGCATTGGGTGCTCCCCCAAGCACGAGCTATTTGTTAATGCTGTTAATATCTTGTTAATTCGTTAATATCTTACCTCTTCAATGACACCTTCAGCCTTGCTCCAGAGCTCAGTGGCCAGGCCATATTGATTTTTATTTATGGCATCCATTATTTCTTTAGCAACAGCAGTCACCTCTGCTAGACCATGATCATCAAGGAGAGACTAGAAGAGAAATGAAGTAGGACAGCTTTAATTATAATTCCACATTCAGTTCTCATTAACAGTCTCCATGCATGAGAGATTTTATACCAATTAAGAGCCAACCTTAAAATCAACCTCCATTTATACTATATGGTAGTACAAGTTCTCAGAAGACCAAGAGCTTAAGGTACTTACGGTGCTATAAAGATAGGGCCCCCAAGACAGCACCGAATCTAAAGAAACAGAACAGATTTCAAACATCTACATTTTTGCCATATGATTTCCTTTACTTTTCCTTTATTGTAGCAAAAATGGTCATGACAAAAACCACACAGAGATAAGTTACTCAGTGAAGAATTACTGTCTGCTCACTTTAGTCTGAAGCTTACATGCCATGGAGCAGTTTCTTTACAAATCTCAAGAACCACTAAGACTAATTCAATGCCATAAACATAAATCGGTGAAATTTATATAAAGCAACAGACATGTCCTTACCAAAACGTTCTCACCCCAGCACTGCAGCACATTGCTACAACATGAGGAGAGAACGGACAAAGTCTAAGCATAGTCTAAACTAATCTATTTGAAAATATTTCAGGGAAAAAATAGTTATAGAACAAATCTTTTATCTAACAGGATAATTTATAAGGTTTCAATGAACAGATGATCCTTCTAAGACAGGTAGGAGTTGGCTTGATACTGTCCCATGTCACAAAGAATCTGTGGAGCCTACCCTTGCAAATCTTACTGAAGACCAAGTATCCTTTTCTTTTTTTGGCCTTCACCAGACACCCTATCTTCTCCAGGTCAGCAAGTACATCAGTTCCCTAGCACAAGGTCTCCTTGTGAAAACAGTGAGAAAACTTCAGTTGCAACTTTGTGGATCATCTAGTGGCCACATTTTATGTGCAGTACTCTTATCAAAACACTACAGACACAGTAGAGATTTGTAAGGACATTTCACCACCACCCCAATAAAAATGCAAGTGTGCTCCTCACTGACTTTGCTCTCAGATTGTTCATGACTTAGATATGTTCTAAAGATACATTCAATCAGCTTGCAATACTAAAGTATTTATTTTTGGTGATTTGATTTACCAGACTCACTAGAGATTTAAGTCCCTTAAGGCAGGGCTGGCATTTTTGACTGTAGATACCCATGAAACGATTTTAAACGTACCCAAAGGAGAAATCCATGAGTCTCCAAGAGCAGTCCCAACAAAATTGCACTTTATACTTCCTTTTTGAACAGCCTTGGTGAGAAGAGGAAAAATAAAAACAAGCCTTCTTTTAGTAAGAAATTCACGACTCTAGAACCAGTTTTCCTTATGTGAAAAACAAAAATGCGTTATTGGCCTGACTTAGGCAAGAGGCACAGCGTATTCCAGGAAATACTAGTATTGTAGGATACCACATTTTAAAGTCAAAAGTGAACTACATCCCAACTACTTACTTCATGAAGCGCTAAGGCAATGCCAGCAGCCATTTTACCTCCATAAGATTCAGAAAATATGTAGAACGGGATGGTCTGGAGAGAGAAACCACACAATGAACCCATTAGACAGAGGGCAGAACATATCCCCAACCCTTTTCCGCCATCCCACAGAACCCAGGAGCTCGTTTGTCAGTTCTCACTGTCCAACACTGGAGATTTTTGATTCTAAGTTGCAGATAAGATTTCCACAACATACTGGTGTAATTGCCAGGAGTTTTGAAGTGGGCACTTCAGTATTTTGGAACTAGGAACAGTCATGTTCCAACATGCTTCTCAGGTCACAATAGAAAACAACACACCCTTTTGATTACCTAGCTGGTGCCTAAGACAGAAATTCAAGATACCAGTTATAAATTGTGAAAAATCAGAGGCAGTGCTTACATCTGCAGTGCCTCCCCCGTCGCTGCATGCTACCTAGTAGCAGATGTCTCCTGTTCACCAATTCCTTTTGAGAACTATTTAACAATCAAATAAAAATAGGATTCTAATCAATAATTCAAATCACTTACCTGGAATTCAGTTCTATGTGTGAAAAAGTCTCTGAGAAAGACCATCATATCAGAGACTACTGTGGTAAGGTTTTTGGCAAACAAGCTGCAGTCATCCACATAACTGAATCCAGTGCCAACAGGATTATCCACAAACAAGATACTGGCTGCCTGCAACTGTACAAGTGGAAAGCAAGTTTCTATGAGATCTCAGTTCAGCTAACAGTCCAGAAGAGCACCACTACTGTAAACTATGGTTTTGATGCACAGAAGTCTAACAGTCACTGTATCCCTCACCCTGAAAGAACCTGCCAAAAAATTAGGTACAAGTCCAACACAGGAAATGGTACAGGTAGGACTTCTGTCTGTCAGATGTCAAATATGCTATCAAATAGTGCCAAGTTGTATAGTTACAAGTGTTTACATAAAAATCAATAGATCAGCACAGAGATAGCTAGCACAGCTCAAAGCAGTACAGCTCATACAAGAGGTACAACATGAAGTCTTTCCATTTCCTAATCTGTAACAGGAAAGGCGCCCAAAAATCCCAGTCATTCAAGGGCAGATCATCCATGTGATCTAGGGATCTCCAGAGTAGTTAAGGCTATTGGTTGTCTCACAGCACAAATATGTTCTGTTGAATAAACCTTCATAGGCAGCTATAATTATATTACAGCTGGTTTCCCATGAAGGTGATACTGGGCTTGTAATTACAATCCCTTGGTTATATGTTGCCAGCCACCCAGAAAAGCCTTCATGACTGCATGCAATGAAGCAAGGATTGGAAATAACATCCTCCTAGAATTTCCCTGCTCTCTGTTTCCTCAGACATGTGCAACTCACAGATTCATGGAAGCCCAGCCATATTCCATCAAATCAAATTAAGAGGCTACTTCTTCAGATCTTAACAAGGCTACTCATATAAGCCATTTTTATTAACCACATCATTTTAAGATGAAGTATCATAGTTCTATTTAAATGAAAATTATTCTGTGTGTGCTTTTGCCTAACAATCTTTTGCCTACACAAGCAACAAACATTTTTCAATCAATTATTAGGAGCTGAACTCTCCACTATACCCAGGTAGTATTTCTTGGTTTCATTTCTTTGTCTAACGGACCAATCTCTTCAAAGTTCCCAAATCCGCAGCCTGAAGCTCCTGGACCTCCCTAAGGGGAAACAGCAAATGACAAGTAAATTAGAAGGCAGCATGGTAGAGACATAAAAGACAGGAGAACAAAAGCAACCCCCTAAGCACAACCTATCACATGTTTAAAGAAGTGGCCTTTGCCCTACATGTTAACTTGCAAAGAAGGCTCTCTTCCTCATTGTCTTTTCATTATGCGTACACAAGCTATTTCTGAACGGAGAAGCAGTCACTCAGTTGTGAAAGCATCTAATGAGTTGCATGATATGAGTGCTGTTTGAAAACCTTTCCCCTTAATCCCCTAATATCTAATGCAAAAAAAAAACAGCTAAAAACAGACATTTTCAAGTGATAATTTTTTTCTCAGCATGTACAGCACATGCATTTCACTCTGAAAAAATAACATGAAAAGGGAAAGGACCAAATCAAGCGATTATATTCAACATTAATTTCTGAAATGCAATACTGGAAGTGAATGTGGAGCACACATCACTGACTTTTATCAGTTGTGATTGAACGGGACCAATCTCCAAAACAATCAGTCTCTCTGACTTGTTTCCTTACAGCAGTTACCCTACATCTCTGATTGTTTTGTCTACTCTCCCTCTGAACATCAGTTAGGCTGTAAACTCCTCAGGAAAGTTGCTGTGACACCTCTAAGTACTTGTCATGTCTGGCACAAAAAGCACTACTGTTGTTTGAAAGATAAGAACAGCTGCTATTTCTGCAGTTTAACTCTATGAGTAGTTGAGGGCATCACACAACTGCGGAATGACACTTTAATTATTTTTTGCTAACCTGAATGCTTCCTTCACAACATGAAGCATTAGAATCAGACAGCTTTGAACACTACTTCTGTCCAGCTGTAAAGTACTTACCACACTGAACCAGACACAGATGGAAGAAGTTCTTGACTAAGTGCCTTTACCAAACCTTACCTGAAGCCACATGATGAGAGGTAGCTCCGTGAAGTCCTTGGTTGGGTTGTTTGCATAGTAGAGCCACCAGAACATGTGGGCTTTACTTCGGACTTGCACATATCCCCACAGCTCTTTGGGCTCTTGGGGTTGCTTCAGCACCACACCTTGGGGGTAAGACAAACAAACACTGAATAAAACAACCAAACAAACAGCTAAGTCCAAAAGGTTCAGCTGCGGGCTTTCTCCCAGATTTGTTCCACAACGTTACATTTCAATCTCGGGTGTGATAATTAGAGGTGCTTCAATTAAAGAAATTACTGTAAGAATCATACTTACACGCCCGTGGCTGATTTACCATCGGTGAATGCGGTTAGGCGTGCAATTAGGTGCTCGCTTCCCAGCGCCTCACAGCGCAGCTGCTGCGGGCACAGCACCGGGCAGCCGCTGGGACAGGATTGTCACAGAGACACCGAGGGGCTGCGGTGGGCAGGGGGCTCCAGAGGCCCACCCGGCCCAGCAGGGTCACCCAGAGCACAGGGTGGCACCCAGGCGGGTTTGGGTATCTCCACACACGGCCACCCCACAGCCTCTCTGTGCAGCCCGTTCCAGCGCCCCCTCACCCGAACCCTTTCGAGTTCTCCCTCCCGCGGCTCCCTTCACACCCGTCACCCCTCGTCCTGCCACTGGCCACCACCGAGCAGACTTTGTCCCCGTCCTCTTTCCAAGGTCCCTCAGGTGTTTGCAGAGCTCGATGCGATCTCCCCCCAGCCTCCTCCCTGGGCTGACCGGTCCCAGCCGGGTGTCCCCTCACAGGACCGAGCCTCCCCCCCCCAACCCCCCCGCCCCGTACCTGCCGCTAGCGCCGCCAGCCCCAGCCCCAGCACGACCCCTGCCCGCTGCGGCGCCATCCTCCCGCCGCTGTCACGCGAACGGCTCCCGCACCGCCCCTCCGCCCTCCTCTCCCCTCCTCTTCCTCCTCCTCCTCCTCCTGCCGCAACATGGCGGCGCCCGGCAGCTGCGGCCCGCTCCGCCTGCGGCTGCTGTTCGACCACCCTCCGCCGGGCAGCCCGGGCTGCGCGCTGTGCTGGCTGCTGCTCGAGCCCGACCAGGCGCGGCTCGTCACCGACCTGCTCAGCATCATCCGCCACAGGTTCGGCTTCAGCCGCCGGGCCCGCCTCAGCCTCTTCTTGGACGGGGCGCTGCTGCCGCCCACCGAGAGCGCCCGCCTGGTGCGGGACAACGACGCGCTGAGGTACGGCCGGGGGTGGGGGGGGCACGGAGCCTGCTCTGGGGGTCCCTGAGGGCCCTATCGGGGTCCCCCCAAAGGTTTTGCAGGGTTTATGCCGGTACCGGGCTGGGCATCCCCGCCCCAACGGCCTGCAAGGTGCCGCCTGACCCTGGTGTGTGTCTGCTTTTTGGCAGAGTGAAGCTGGAAGGGATACTCGCAGACAGTGATGATGAAGAGGTGGATGATGAGTTCTCCTACACGCCAAACAAAAGCAAAAAAAGGCACAAACGAAAGCAGAAAGAGGAGGAATTGTCTAGGAGTGAAGATGACAGGTGTAAAAAGGAAAAGAAGAAGAAGAAACGGAGCCCCGAGTATTCCTCTTGTAGAGAAGAGGCCTCTCTAGATATTTTGGACTCTCAAAAGAAACACAAGAAACGAAAAAGAATGGAAGAAGTTAGTGGGAGTAGACTTACAGAAGGTAAGGAAGAGAGCCCTACTGACCGATCTAAAAAGCTTAAAAAAGCAGAGAGGGAGAAACAGTTGGCAACAAAAACAAAGGATGAAAAGCACACAAAGGTCGCTGCAGCAAAAGCAGCTTTAGAACGGAAAAATGACAGCTTTTCTTTAAATTCTGGTAAAAATAACACCAAAAAATTGACAACAGAGACCAGGAAAAAGAGGGTGGGAACTTCAGATTCCTCCAGCACGTCATCTGACAGCGACAGCAGTGAATTAAATATAAAGCAAAATAAATCTTCCCATAAACCTGCAGTGGCAACGCTTCCCAGAGACAAATCCCAAGCTGCTACAAACTCTGAGGTGAAAACTGCTGTTTCTAATAAAGTGACTGTAAAATCTAAAGCTGAAAATTCCACTAAGACTGCAGTTAGTAAGACTGCTAAAAAATCCCAGTCCTCTAGTGAGGATTCTGACTCAAGTACAGAGGATGAGAAAGTGGCACCAGCACAAGACAATACCACAAAGGAAAAGTCATTGCCTAACAATGTAGCAGCTGTAAAAGCCGGTACCAGTAGTGCTCTCAAAGCAAAGACTTCCTCTTCAGAATCTGACAGTTCAGATTCAGAAACACTTGTTATTAAAAAACCCACAGCAAATGCTGGAATGAGTAATTCCATAGTAAGAAACAGTAGTAAACTGTTGCCAGCCAGTATTCAAGGACCGGTCGCCAGCCCAGGTCGTGGAAGGGGGCGTGGAACAGGAGAGGATAACTTCTGGAGAGGACCTAGGGGCCGTGGGTTTCGTGGGATGATGAGGGGCCGAGGTCGTGGGAGAGGAGAAAACCCTGGCTTCTTCTATAACTACAGCAGTGAAGGCCAGAAACAGAGGCAGATAAATGAAGCTGTGACAAATACTTCTTTTCTTGTCCAGGTGAGTGACTTATGCAGTCATTGGTCACCCTTCTCTTGCAGATCTAACTGTACAAAAAATGTATAGGGTGAGAGTAGTTCAGAAAAGCAGAAATAAATAAGTAGGAGAAAGGTTGATGGATCGGAACTTAGCGATGGATCTTAATTTAGCAAGGCTGATGTTTACAGTACTTCCATGTATCAGCCCGAAGGAGTGTTTATGAAACAATACTTAAGAGATTGTATTTTCTATCTCAAAGCACTCATACACGTACCTTACTATTCTCAGAGTTTTTACGTTCCTACATCACAAACATTGTCTTCCCTTTTTATAAAAACAGTAATCAAATCAATGGGTTTATTGTTTGTTTCACAGAATGCCGTGGAGGTCCCCAAGAGAGACTATAGTGTATTACCTCTTCTAGCTGCCCCACCACAAGTGGGAGAAAGAATTGCCTTTAAGGTAAAGAACTTTGAAATGCTGAATGTTACCGGGCTAAAATTGCTTCACTTGGGCTGCTCTAAATTTTGCATGATATGATACAAATGGTTTAGTCCTGACAACCAAAAGCTTGCACTTTAGAATATGATCTTAATCTTCTTTTTTCCCAAAACTTTTTTTTTAAACTTCAGCAAGTGGTTCAGAATGTAAAACTGCTTCCAAATGTTTGTAGGCTCTGAAAGCATTCATTCCTCTTGCTGTCCTTATAACCTAATAGTTTCCCATACTATAGAAAATATTACAGTTTCTGTTCTTGGCCCTAAAAATTCTTTTCTGACTTAGATTTTTACAAAGGTTTTGAGCATACAAATAGGGCCAGGTAATTCTATCCTGAAGCTAGATAGGGCTGTGAGGGAGGAGTTTGAGTGTTTGCACAGTGCTTGAATCACCTGTATCACCAGGCTTTTCCATTCTCAGGCAGCACCAGCCTCCCATCTCCCCAGATAACAAAGCATTGCCTGTACTGCTGTAATAAAACTCGCATATTCAAAGATCTGAAAGTTTTCTTGAGCTGTCATGTGCTAGCTAACTGTTGCAGATCATGGGATCGAGATGAGCAGTGCTCACCAGTGGCATAAAGGCAAAATCTTGGCTCTTGTTAAAATCCTTCACAAAAAGAATAAAAAAATCCTTTTTTTTTTTTTTTTTTTTTTTTTAAGATTCCACATTGTGGTTGGACTTGGTAATCTTAGGTCTCTTCCGACCTAAATGATTCTATTATTCAGTATCTTAAATGCATTTCTTAAGACTTGCCACATTTATACAACACAAACAAAGAAGTGTCTCTGCGGCTGTTTCAATGTGAATTTCCATGTACAGCTGTACAAAGACTCCCTTACGTGGCACCCAATCAGGTCACGAATAACTGACCTTTCAGGCTTTATCTTCTCAAAGTTTCTCTCTATCCTGAGGATGGTTTCAAGGTTTATGTTTAAATATAAGAATGACATAAAGAAGCATTACCCCTCTCCTATGTGCAAGGAAAGTCAGTGTTAAAATTAGATGTTATTAAAAAAAAAATAAAAATTCCTCTGTTATTATTTCTCTCTGCAGTGTTTCTAAAATATTATTGCAAAGCTTACAATAAATAACAAATAATTACACTTCAGCACAAAATAAAAAAGTAAAGAAAAATGAAATCACTGGAACTGAGGAGACTGGATCCTTCTCCTTGATCTCATTTCACAGCCTGACCTGAACAGAAATCCTTTGGAGCAGTGAGTCCTGAAAGGCTGCCTGGGACTGTGATAGGTGTCAGGGTCTAGGAGTAGGAGACTTTGTTCTTGTACTTCCCTCTTGCTGAAGAAGCCAAGTCTGGGTATAGGTGGCATCTTAAAGGATTGTAAGAAGTTGTAACTTATTTGTGTTTCTTTCAACAGCGCTTGGAACTAACTGAAAATTACAGTCCTGAAATTTCAGACTATAAGGTATTGTTTTTCCTTCTCCCTAAACCCCCCAACTCACTGAAAAAAAATATTATAGGTGAGGTAAGACTTAAATATTTTGATGTTCTATAGTATTTTTCTTCTTACCTGGTTGAGTCTGCAGATTATTCCTTTTGCAGCAGTAAAAATTAAAACCTAAAACCCAAAGCTAGCTGAAAACTAGGTGAAGCTGTTAAAAAAAAAAAAAAAGTATTATTAATGATCATTAGTATTTTAGAGATGACAGAAAAGCAGACCTTCAAGTACAAAAACGTAGCTATATTCAAGTATACTGCTCTTTGAAGTCAAGGTAAATTCTTGGTATTGTTGTATGTAAAATTCAGTACCTACTTGAAATAACTTGGTTTCTTGGGAAGTACTGATTTAAACTACAAGGATAGTGACAGTATCATGACTGTATTGATACTTGTAACTGCAGATTGCTAAATGTTAATACCTTACAGATTTTGTATGTAGAGATAAAGTACGTCTGTTAAATTTTTTTAATTGTGATCAAGTATCAGAATGGTTGTAATATGGAATGGTTATCCAGTGCTGAGATGTATTATATCAGATTCTTTTCTTGTTGCCTTATACAGGAGGGGAAAATAATCAGTTGGAATGCTGATAAAAAACAGATCGAGCTTGAGATCCTATCGTCTTCAACAAGCCAACGTATGTACCCTGGGACACCGCATGTGCATCACCTGAAAAATAACTAATCTCAGGCACATTTCCCGCTCCATGAGCATTTCCAATTTCCTCCTGTTCTTTCTCAACCTTCCTGCCCCCTCCAAACTCCCTCTCCAAAAAGTCTATTTATTTAAATCGAGAAGTTCTGATGCTTGCTAGTCTTAAAGGGCATGCTCATACATGCTTGCAAAATGAAATTTCTCCGGTCAGTAACTCATTTCCATTGCTGTTTCATTTCCTGAAAAGTTAAAGAGATTATATAGAATTCCAGAGAACATTTTAGGTCCTAATACCTAAATTTATTTGTGAAGTCACTGAAGTCACTGTCTCCACTGGATGTGAAACAGAGCCTATACAATGACAAAGTGCACTTCAGAGACGCAGAAATATATATGTGTATGCTGCAGTTGAGATTTATACCAGCATTAATGAATCATTATCATATGAACATTTTTCTCAAATGTAGGCAGCGTATTGTTGACAAACATTTTTCATGCATAGTTTTACTAGATAATTACTTTAATTTTGTTGTGTAGAATTAAGTTCTCCTTCAGAGTTTTGTTAGTTACAAACATTGCTGATATGATACATGTTTAAAACTCAAAAATAGGCTAAAGAGGGTTCATACCAAGTGGATTAATAATGTGAGGCGTGGGTACTGTGTTGTGGAAAAGCGTAACATAAATACAGAGTAATGTCACAGCTCAAGTGGTTCCTTGAACCTCTGGAGCCTCAATTATTGCAGCAGTTTAGACTAATAATTTAAAATTAACAAAACAAAACAAAACAAACCAAAAATGCACAGCTGTGCTTGACTAGCTTTGCAAACATGATGAAAATGTTAACCTTTCGCTTTTTGTTCATGTAACTAAGAAGCTTTTTTTTTTTTTTTAAGCTGCTAAAGAGCCAGGGAAATTTGATCTGGTTTACCAGTCTGCAGATGGAGCTGAGCTGATAGAGTATGCTGTTCCTCATGATACAAAGGTATGTGCATATCTTGTTCGCACTTCCTGTTTTATGACACTGTTCTTCTCAGTGGGATTCCTCTTATTATAATGCATCTGATTGAAAGCAAAAATAATTGATCCTTTCTAGCAAGAATCACAGAATGTGTATGATTACAAGATAAGAACTTCATGCGTGTGTTTTCAATTAACTAGATTCAAAACCAGTCATCAGACAGTGTAACCATTTAGTTTTGGCTAACAAACGATATTACAACTAGATAGAGCATCAGTTCTTAAAAGGCTATTCCTTTGAGGTAGCCTGCCTGATGCACAAGTAAGGAAGACTGAGATTCACTAAGATCACCAAATCACAGGAAGAATCTATGATCTGTGATCAGTAGTGCTGCTGTTCAAGTCCAGACAACGTATAATGTAGAACAAAACTGCATCTGCCTGTATACGTTGTACATGCTAACTCTTGTCTGTATTTTGCTTTCAGATAACTGAAAGTTGGGATGCGCTGATAGAACCAAGACTGATTGTTGAGACTCAAGTTAATGGATCAGGCATTGAAAACGGAGTAATCTAAGATGTGAATACATGTAAATAATCGTATGGACTTGTTTTGTGAAATACTGCCTTCGAATTCTGAGGGCAGCAGATGCACTGGTGAATATTTTTAATAAATGGTTTTGAAATGAAATTGATACCAAAAGAAAACACTTTTTCTTAGGATATGTTTTTTATGTAATACAAGAATGCTTTGTTTATTATAGGAAATCTTTAATATAGATTTGATTTTTTTTAAATAGAATCTTAGCCACGCTTTTCATATCTCACCAGTGTGAGCTGTAAAACTGGAACAGTTTGATCAAAAATATAAAATATGACCTTGTACTGTCAGTAGCTCCATTTAAATGTCTTGTTTTGTCTAGAGCAGTATAACTGCCATACAATGGCAGCTTGCTGTAAGGATAATTAAAGACCAGCATTTAAAAGTCAAATAGTATTGATACACATGACTCTTCCTGTACGGCTGCAGAGCACGATACAAATGCCATGGCTTTGCAGTTGTGTACAGGGTTCACTTGAATGTGTCAAGAAAAATGTACAGACTTTAAGCTTCTGTAATTTTGAAAGGCAGATAAATACTATTTGTAACTGAGAATTTTGTCTGGAACCAGTGGAGTATTTCAGAAATCCTAGACAAAAATGTGTCCCTGTGTGTTAATCTGTGTACACTCTGAAAACCTTTTTCAGCAAACCCTTTTGCCGTTTCAGTGCTGAAGTGTCTGTACTGACTTTTTTGTTTCCTTTCTAATCATAGAACGGGTCATCATATGGTAGTGGTGCACTTACTGACATCTCTGCTAAATACCAGTGTTAGAACCTTGTGCCCCTAAGGTGTTGTACTTGCATCTTGGCAAATCTTAAAATTTAAGACTCTCCAACTCAGATAGTTGACTCTTAAGCAGAAGACATTTAGAAAAGACAGACCTGGGTACAACAAACACCTGAAAAGCTGCATGTCATGGTTTAGCTAGTATATATTCTGACTAATGCATGACTACATTAAAATATTGCACACCTTTGTGTTATTCCTATTAAAATGTCTCCGCTGTGAAGAAATGCTTTTATCAGTAAAATTAATTTGTGTTGCAGCTCTCTTTAGTTGCTGTTGTTTTATGTTAAAAATCTGATTCTAAATGTGGATATACTTGCAAACTGGACAAAGAGAACACTTCTGATACTAGTGCAATCACGTGGAGACAGGATTAATTGAAAGATTATTTTTTAAGGAAATTGTTAATTTTGAATTCTTATAAAACTGCAAATATTACATGCAAGTATTTCACAGCCTGTTAGAGCAGGACTTGCCTCTTGTTCCATTGCCTACCGTGTATTTTGGCTATAAAGTAAAGATACAGCATCCTGTGAGAAACAGATCATGATTGAAAACAAATATACCCCAGAGAAAGGATGTTTTGAAGATAAAATCTTGAGTTTTATTTAACCACTGTTACCAAGTTAGCACAAAACTCCTGTTCCAGTGCACAATTTAAATCAAGTAAATGCAATCTGATAGAGATGGCTTACTGCCCTTCCTGCCACACCACTGCATTTGTTCTTGACAGAACTAGGCACTAGTTTCCTCATACCAGGCAAGCTGGAGCAGGGCTGGGTCACTAAATGGGCAAGAAATGCAGAATAAGGTAGATGTGCACGTGAACCATAGAGGGAGATGGCGCTACTCTGAAAAAAACTATTTTGCTTTCTTTCTGTCACTTTGCAAGCCCCATTGCTGAGGCAGCCCTGGCTATCAGACACAGCAGCTCCTTGCCACCTTCCTTCATGAAACTTAGAATTATATGTTTGTTAAGAAAAAATATGTTTGTTTGGTTTTTTTTTGATAAACTCCAACCTCATGACTAAAAATGTGTAAGTTTGACCTAGCAGGCTACAGTCACAAGTGTGCAACCTGCTGTAGGCCTACAGACATAATAAACTTTTGCAGCGAGAAGCTGGCAAACAGAAGGTGTTGAACAGATTTTAAGAAACCCAGAAGTTTGCTGCTGTGACTACAGACCTGCCAAAAATACAGCGTGTCAGTTCTTCAGGAATTTGGAGATACTTATAATTTTGATGGGGAAATTATACCTACCTAAGCCAGTTCAAATATTAAATCCAAAGAAGTCCCAAAGTATCAGAGTGCCTATCTTGATGTTTGCTCAGTCATGTATACTGATAATTTCTTCTGCTGTTCTTCTAACTTCCTGCTTCAAGCCTGAGTGGCATTTTAAATACACAATATCGGGGCAAAGGGTTAGATTTAAATCAGAACCACGTGAAGAAATCCTTGAGTAATTATGAGGAGGCAAACAGCTTCAATAGCTATTTAAATAGTAAAGTTCTTCAATTATCTTTAAACTTGTTTTTAGTCAACAGGAGTGGTTGGGTTCACTCAACAGAGTATCAAGATCTGGTTGATGATGGGGAAATTTAAATTGCTCATCTGAGCTCTAAACATCCCGTGTTCTGCTCCAGAAGCAAAGTTACAATTGAGAGAGTATATATTTAGTTACCCTTTATATTTGCATACCTTTGCATTAGTAGATGTCAGATGAGTGTTGCAGAAGTCAGCGAGGGTGCCGAGCCCTTGAAAGATGGTGATGGCTTAATGCAAACGAGGCCAGGAAGAAGTGCTTTTTTTCACCTAATGAAAAATTAGAAATGTAAATATCAACAGGTGCTTTTTGGTGAGGCGCACCGCAACGCACCACTATAACAATGTTCATTTGCAGTCATTGTCAGTGACCAGCTCTCAGATATCTCCAGGCGTGTGTGTCCCCTCAGGCTCATCACAAAATCCTGAGCTGCAAATCCCTGCGGAGCTGGAGGTAACGGTGGAGCCGCGCCGCATTTCCTACGAACTCATCCACCCTCAAGCAAATTACATACCTGGTCCCTGAGCTCCTCTGTCACAGCCAGGTTATGCTGTTATTACAGAGCAGTCAATCAAATTTCCATACTGTATCTCCTGCCTAACTTCCCTCTGTTAGTTTGAGGAAGAAGCAAAGCGTGGAGGAAAAAAAAAAAAAAAAAAAAGAGAGAGAGGAAATGCATTGAGGTGGTTTCTGCGTGCACACAGCCCTAAGTTGGGTGCATTAACGGGAGCTGCTTCGGCCGTGCTCGGTGTGTAAAACCAGACGGGGCCCTGCTGGGAGCCCCCCGCTGTGTGCCCGCCCCGTACCGGGGGGGTCCCGGAGCCGCTGCCCCCGCTCGCTGCGGCCGGGGGCCGGTCCCGGAGCCGCCGCACCTCCCAGCGAGGCGGGGCCCGGCCACGTCGTTTGCCGGAAAACCTCGGCCCCAAGTTTCGTTTCTGGGCAGCTGAGGAGCGGCGGCGGTGGCTGCGGGTGGCACGGTCGGGACGATGGCGGCGCTGACCCGAGCCGTGTCCGAGCCGAACCTGGCGGGGCTGGAGGAGGATCTGACCTGCTCCATCTGCCTCTCCCTCTTCGACACCCCCGTGACGGTGCCGTGCGGCCACAACTTCTGCGCCTCCTGCCTGGACCTCACCTGGGCCGAGCTGGATGCCGGCTTCAGCTGCCCTCAGTGCCGGACCACCTTCCCGGGCCGGCCTCAGCTCCGCAAGAACACGGTGCTGTGCCGGGTGGTGGAGCAGCTGCAGGGCTGCACCGCGGCCGAGGAGCAGCAGAAGCAGGAGGATGAGGAAGATGAGGCGGTGGCGGAGGAAGCAGCGTCCCCCGTGTACTGCGACAGCTGCCTGCAGGCTCATGCAGCACAGACGTGCCTGACCTGCATGGCCTCCTTCTGCGCCGAGCACCTGCAGCCGCACCACGACAGCCCGGCCTTCCGCGACCACCAGCTCTGCCCACCCGTGCGTGACCTGCAGCAGCGCAAGTGCTCGCAGCACAACAAGGTCTTCGAGTTCTTCTGCAAGCAGCACGGCACCTGCATCTGCTCCCTCTGCCTCCTCAGCCACAAGCTGTGTAACGCCAGCCCCCTGCAGCAGGCCAAGGCTGAAGCTGAGGTGAGCGGGGCAGGGGCAGGGGCAGGGTGGCTTGGCTCGGTCCAGGCTGCAAGCCTCCTGCCTGTCTGTCCTTCTGATGTCTGTCCTCCTGTGTGAGCCCGAGCTCTTCGGAGGCTCTACACACCTCGCCTGAGGCGAGGAGAGGGGTCTCCAGGCTGGCGTCGGGGTGATGGGTGGCCCAGCCTTGAGCCGTGCTGGCTGGTGAGGCTCCTGGTGAGGCTTGGCAGGGAGCCGCTGGCTTACTGAGAGCCTGTAGGCACCGCTCACTGCTGCTATGTTCTTAGAAAGCAAAGAGCTATAGAAGTACCCTAGAGCGATCTCGAGCATGTGCTAAGGAAGAGACGTGCTAAGGAAGAGCCAGGAGCAGGTTCTCCAGGGAGCAGCACGGAAGGAAACCTGGCTTCGTATTGTATAACTGAAGACAGCTTCCCTGACTTTGCTTAGCAGCATTTTAAACTAAAAGAATAACTGACCAATAAAATTATTGGAGTGAGAGGTGAAGAGCAGTGTTTACCTAGTAAACCTAGTTTTAACTAATGCTCAAAGTCCAGCCTAAGAGATGAAGTAAAGTTTATTTTAAGCACGGGGAACAGCTTTGCTGATGAACAGCCCTTATCAAGAGAGTGACTCAACAATGTCCATCCTGCTGCTGGGAAAGGCGGAGCTGCAGGGAGGGTTCTGGCTTCACACACCAGGCGTGTGCAGGAGAGCATTTTTACATTCCATAAGGTTTAAGGAGCAGTGAGTTTTAAATCAGTAGTACTAAATGCTTACAGTGGTTATGCAGAAGTTTCTATAAATACAGTAACTTCTTTTTCTAAAATCTTATCTGATCTCCTCTACTACAGTCAGCACTGAAGAAGAAACTGACAGAGCTGCATAATCACAGTGAAAAAGCCACTCGAGCGATGAACTCTGTGAAAACAAGCCAAACCCAAACTGCTGTAAGTGGGAAACTTCCTGTTCTAAACACTGTCCAGTCGCTTGGTGTATGCTGGCTGCTGAGCATTGTTGATGCTCGTACTCTTGTGACAACAGCTGTAGTATCGAGATTGTATTGCCAGGAGAAGATCTTATTGGGAAGGAACAAAAAAGAGATGTTTTGGCAGAGCCAGGCAGCTCCATGGCAGATGGGACCAAATGCAGCCACCTTTCAAGGGCTTTATTCTTGCATGTGCTGATGTACCCGAGCGGTAACTGGGCTCAAACCCATCCGTTCCTGTGCACCTGAAAGAATGCACCTGTGTAGCCTAAGCTGAAGCACGAGTGGGCAGTAATAGCTGCCCCCTTGCTGAAATGTGGAATGGCTCTTTCCCATAATTTAACACAGCCTGTCCTTACTCATACCGAACAATTGGGGTTGTCATGTGTTGGCTGCTGGATCAGGTACATCTCACCTGTACCGTCCTTTCTGGACTGTGTGGTGGGGACCAAGAAACTGCAAAACTGCCAGAGTAGCTCTTCTGTGCTCCTCCAGAACACCTCTTGGAGGATGGGGAATAACTCTGTATTAACTGAAGATGCCACAAAGCACATCGCTGACACAGGAACAACTCCAGCCGTACAAGTGGGTGTGTGGTGTCAAAGCTGGCGAAGGCCTGATACAGTTCCACTTCTTCTAACCACTAGATGGCACGGCTGGCCTGGCCTCTGCCCAGCAGCCTCCCAGAACAGAGGCTAAGAACTGTCTTGATTTCTTGGGAGTAAATGATTTTTCTTTCCAAACAAAATAGGAATGCATAGCTTTTATATTTCTAATTTCAAGTAATTAGTTTAGATGTTCCTCAAAGACTTTCATTTTTGTTTTTTTTTTCTTCGTTGTTTTTTGTTTGTTTGTTTTGTTTTGTTTGTTTGTTTGTTTTTGTAATAGCAGCTGCACTTCTTCCACAAACTGTTCTTTTGAAACCAGTGTCTATCTGTCCTTGTTTGCTTCAGGAGACAGCTGCCAGAAAGCGAGATTTGATGAGAAACGAGTTCTTGGAAATTAAAGCTTTGATTGAAGAAAAAGAAAACCAGATCTTTAAAGTAATCATGGAAGAAGAAAAAAGAGTTTGCACTAAGTTTGATTACATTTATACTGTTCTGGGAAGTAAGAAGAATGAAATTCAATCTCTCAGAGACCAGATTGAGATGGCACTGACAGAACATGATGACGTTCTGTTTTTAAAGGTAATAAGTCCTCTAGATGCAAATCTAATTCTTCAAGTTTCTAGAATGCAGAATCAAAAAAAAACTGCTGTGGCAGTCCTGCTCTCCAGCCACTTTATTCAAATGACAATCCAATCATGTGCAAGAACCTTCTGTAAAAAGGTGTACTGATAAGCACTCAGATAACAGTGAAAGAGCACTGGAACAAACTTCTGTCCAGTAAATTGCAGCCCCCTCCCTCACCAGCTTGCCTACTACTACTGCCACAAGCAGAAAGGTCACTGAATGACAGAACCCATCTCTGTGAGGGATGTGTTACATCTCCATACTGCAATGAAGTCTAGTAGATCTTTCTCATTGCTTCAGGTATCAGTTAGAAATTACTGCTTATGGTTTGCTGAGTTGTTGTTGAAAGTTTGCCGTGGCTCATGTCTGACTGTCACCTTTGCTTGTTCGCATTTGAGCTGAATGCACAAAACCTACTCCATTTAAAGTAACTTGGTTGTATTTGTCTACATCTGCCACAGAAGGTGGTCTGCATGAGATGTTCCATTTCTCATTTCAGAGAGCAGCAGCACTGCAACGAGCATCAACAAAAGAGGTTTTTGTGCCTGTAATTGAAATGGACCAAAACTTGATACATACTGCTTATCAGTCTGCCATTAACCTTAAAGAAATGGTCAAGCTTACAGTGAGTCAGCCTAAGGAGAAAAAAACAGAAGGTATTGTATCACTTAGAGAACTGGCATTTTATGATTTGTTCCTTTATGCCTTTGAGCTCAAGTGAGGGATATTCTCACTGCAATTGAAATATCATTAAAAAAAAAAAAAACACAACCACAACTAGTGCAGCAAATAGAGCTGGTTAATATGAACTGTCTTCCAACTTCTGTGGTCCTGCATTTCCAAACAAAAACATACAGTCTGCTCTAAAGTATAGGAGAACAAAATGTGCTAGTGTTTCTTTACTCATTACTTACCCAAGTATAGATCACTGGGACACTAAGCCCCTCTGGCACAACTTGGCCTTTATTCCTTAGAGTAATTTACATTTTTATTATGCAGCAGGGTTGGACACAGTCACAGAATCACACAATGTTATGGATTGGAAGGGACCTTGAAAGATCATCTAGTCCAATCCCCCTTCCAAAGCAGGCACATCTAGATCAGGTCATGCAGGAATGTGTCCAGGCAGGTTTTGAATGTCTCCAGAGAAGGAGACTCCACAACCCCCCTGGGCAGCCTGTTCCAGTGTTCTGTCACTCTCACTGTAAAAAAGTTTCTTCTCATATTTAAGCAGAACCACCCATGTTTCAGCTTGCACCCCTTGTCCTATCATTAGATATCACTCAGAAGACCCTGTCTCTGTCCTCCTCACACTAACCCTTTACATATTTATAAACATTAATAAGTCACCCCTCAGTCTCCTCCAAGCTAAAGAGACCTGGCTCCCTCAGCCTTTCCTCGTAAGGAGATGCTTCACTCCCTTAATCATCGTTGTGGCTCTGTGCTGGACTCTCTCAAGCAATTCCCTGTCCTTGAACTGAGGGGCCCAGAACTGGACACAATATTCCAGACGTGGTCTCACCAGGGCAGAGTAGAGGGGGAGGAGAACTTCTCTTGACCTACTAACCACGCCACTTCTAATACACCCCAGGATGCCATTGGCCTTCTTGGCCACAAGGGCACAGTGCTGGCTTATGGTCATCCGGCTGTTTACCAGGAACCCCAGGTCCCTTTCCCCTACGCTGGTCTCCAACAGGTCAGTCCCCAACTTATACTGGTGTCTGGAGTTGTTCTTGGCCAGATGCAAGACTCTACGCTTGCCCTTGTTACATTTCATTATATACATGTATGATATGTGGATATCAGGATATTCAGGATATGTGGATTTGAGGGGGAGACATAAAACACCCTGGAGTGATTGAACTACCCAATTGTAAAGGCACTAATTGTATAAATGTTGTAGAATGAAGCTCTACTTACGGGGTTAAGCAAAAGTATCTTCTGGACTGGGGCTTGGGTAACTTCCATGTAGTTCTGACTTTGCCAAGTATCACTTAAGTTCTAATCGCATAAATTCTAATTACATGCCTGAAAAATATGATTGAAAAAATGTCCTTTTTCATGCATAATTGTCCTTGGCAATACAAACCATAATGTAAAATATTGATATTGCAGAGAAACAAACAGCTAGGAAAGCTAAGCCCCCTCAAGCAGCTGCACTAAATAGACCTGTTCCTGGGAGAAAGCCGGTTGGACCACGTAAGTACTAAGGAACATCATCCTCTCCTAAGGTTTTGCCATTAAATAAAGAGCTCAAGCAGTACCCAAGAGCTGCTCACTCTAGTGGGGATGCAGCAATGATCTGTAATGAGCACTTTTGTGTGGGAAGGGGAGGATGTTTTATGCTATTTAGCGATGGATGTTGTGTGAGCTGTAAAGAAGCAAACTGCATGGATACAATGGTGCATTAGCCTCAGCGTGCATGTGTGCTTGTGGTGTTGTCAGTGCAGGCTGTAAAGCAAAGGAGAGCTTCCCTACCCTCTGGTTCTTGCAGTACTTCACTGCCTTTCTGCCTTGCAATGCAACGGAATATTTACTTTTCACTTGTGCAAAATGTCTATGCTTTTTTGATGGATTTGTATGTAATGAATCCTGCTTATTAGCTATTCATGTTCTTTTTTTTTTTTTTTTTTCTCCCTTCACAAGAGCGTCCAAACAAAGAGAAAAAACCTTCCCAGGTTCAAGAACCTTTGCAGGAGGAGGCAGATAACCGTAAGTGGTGATTAACAGTGGCCTTACTTAAACATCTTGCTTAAAGTCTAAGGCTGATGGAGACAGTCTTTGTGGCAGGGTATGCTCAGGTCTTTCAGTGCTGTTTTATCCAGTTGCTGGTATTCATGTGGCATTCTGGCCTCTTTGGAAGATCTTCCATGTTCTCTTTTTCAACTTGATCTAAGTGTTAAGAAACTAATTCTGTCACTTCCACTGAGCTCCTGACATACAGTCCTTTCTGTTCATGAGTCCTGTGTGGAGAGCGCTCAGAGGGGTTTGCTGTGGATCACTTTACACAGTGGACGAGCAGCTCCTGGTGCTGCACTAACAATTCTGTTCTAAAAAAGAAGCAGCCTACGTGTCTCATGGGAATAGGGTGATTACCACTTCCTCTCACATGTTGTATCCAAAGGTAGAAATTAAGCTCCTTCCAGACTTATGACCCTAAGAAATAGGAGGCAAATAGTAGGTTGTGCTTCACGTGCAGCATTCCAGTATGTGTGTATTTCTGTGTGGCTTCAGCATGCTAGACTGTCAGCTTTATCTACTGCTGTGGCTTCAGAAGAGCCATGACAAGAATATTACAGTTAGCGTGAAGACAACTAACAGATAATTTTTTTTTTTTTTTCCAGCGGACAAAAAGTTTTCCATTTCATTTGGTAAGTTCAGACTTGAGGATACTTATTCTAGTTTTCATTGACTACTCTTAAAATGCCAAGTAGACGATCACCGGGATTGGTGTATTAGGCAAAAGTTCAGCTGCTGCCTCTAAGGAGGCTCCTCCTGGTCACTGTGAGAGCTATCAAGTACTGAAAGAAGTTGCCTGGTGGCAATGGGATTTTGAAAACTTTACAAGACAGGGTGCAACCTGAGCTAATATTGAAGTTAGTCTTACTTGGCAGCAAGGAAGCTAGACCAGATAACTCAAGATCCACTCCAGCCTAAGTCTGTGTTAAGCATGCAAGGTTTCTTCCCAAGTGGCCAAACTCTCTTTTCTTTTGTCAATACAGGAGCACCAAACACGGGAGCACCAAGCACAGCAGCAACAACTGCAGGAGCATCAAAAGCTGCAACTGCGGCTAATACAAAAGATCTTATTAGCAGCTTTCTTCAGAAAGACAGAGAGGAGCTTTTGCAGTGTAAGATATCAACATTACACTATGTAAAGATGAACTTTCTGTGCTTATTGCACTGGTGTTATGTGACCTTTGTAGTTATTTGAAAGTTTTTGAGGGTGTTTAGTTAGCTAGGTTGCCTTTGGGGGGTTATTAACTAGTTGTTACAAGTTAAAGTTTTGGAGGATAAGGAGGAAGAAAGTTTACCTTACTAAACAGTGGTTATTTTGCCAGATGAGTAAAAATTAATATTCTGTATTCATGTATTTGCCACAGTGTAATTGAAGTTTTCTTAGTAATGACTTGGGTTTCCCCCCCCAAATGACTGCGTTAGGGGAACCTAGAAATGCAATGAAACCCACTTGATTTTTCGTTGAAATGAAACGTAGGCTCTTTCACTGCCAGATCAGTAATCTCTCTGTGCTGCCAGTATACATTTGGGTGGCTAGAGAAATTTGTGGGAATGCAGGAAGGAAGGAAGGAAACCTGTCCCTCCCTGTTTTCCTGCTCTGCAACATGGAGCTGCAGTTGAACCCAGCAGCTGTTACTGCAGCCCCAAGAACTGCCTACACTGCGGAGGAGAGCCGAGCAGGGAGATAAAGATGTGTAGGAACATGTGTTGCCTACACAGGACTGTGTAAATAAAACTGCATTGCTCTTTACTACCTTCAACTGATTCATGTCTTTACAGATGCTGCTAACATCACCCTGGATTTCAACACAGCTCATAACAAAGTGCATCTGTCTGAGAGATACACCAAGATGTCTGTCTCAGACACCCCCCTGAATTATAACCACCACCCTCAGCGTTTCACCTATTGTTCCCAAGTGCTGGGGTTCCAGTGCTTCAAGAGAGGCATCCACTACTGGGAAGTAGAACTGCAGCAGAAAAACTTCTGTGCCATTGGCATCTGCTATGGCAGCATGGACCGGGAGGGGCCAGACAGCCGCCTGGGTAGGAACAGCAGTTCTTGGTGTATTGAGTGGTTTAATTCCAAAATTTCAGCCTGGCATAATGATGTTGAAAAGAATTTACCCAATGTGAAGGCTACCAAGATTGGCGTGCTGCTGCACTGCGAGGGAGGCTTTGTGATTTTCTTGGCTGTTGGGGAGAAGCTTAACTTGATTTATAAATTCAAAACCCAGTTTACTGAGGCACTGTACCCTGCCTTCTGGGTATTTTCAAGTGGCACTGTTCTCTCCCTCTGCCAAATGAAAAAGTAAGGTCTGATATCTTAATGTAGTTTGCCTGGGTATTTACATGCAGATAATCATTCCTTGCAGTAACTTATCTTAGTAGCTATAACATGTATTTTACAAGTTCATGAGCTATTAACTTGCCTGTCTTAGTCAAAGCAGTCTCAAAAAATGTTTTAAGGTGAAAATCAATTTTTCAGCAGTTTGGAGTATCTGGTGATTCTTTGGTCTGAATTGCTAAAACCTTTAGATAGTAATTTAGTAAAATGTTGATGATAGTAAAAAAAAAAACAACAAACACACAGTTAAAGGGTTTGCAAAAACCTTGGCTGTCCTTCCAAAAGCAGTTATCATATGATCTGCTCATAAAAGGCTGCAGTAGCTGCTGTGGCTTCTGCAGTTTCCTGTAAAGGATCCCCAGATGTAGTTTTCAAGTCTGTAATAGCCTTGAGTCTGGGTAGCAGTACATGAGAAAGAAACGAGGAATTCCTTGAGAAATTCAGGTTTCAGGCTTTGAGGTTGGTCTCAGTTTTACCTTAATTCTTTCTCTATATTCAGTCCACTGTCTGTAGTCCAGATTTAAAATATACATGTTCTTAGTGTGAGATGGCCAATGAGATGCTGCAGAATGAACTATTGAAATCAGTAAATTCAGGTCTTGTGACAGCTATAAAATTAAGTATGACAAATCTCATCAGAAGGGAATGCAGATATTTTTAGAGTTGATGGATAAGAAAATGGTATCAGAATCATCAGGTAATGAATTGCTGAAGGAAGATTTCCTGCACAGTAGTAGTGTGGATCCTGTAATAATAGAGTTCGTGGGTTGAAGCAATCTGTCTCATGTTCTGACCCAGAATATGCTTCACATCGAAGGCTCTTCAGTGTTTTGTGTGTTGAGGAGTTCAGGGAGCCTATTTTTGGCTTGCATAGGAGCATAAATGTGCCGTTCACTTTATGACAGGAGACCCTGCTTTCTTTTCCTCATTGTGAGGCAGGATATTCTCTGCTGGCATATTTTTAGTTGCTTAGTTGGTAGAGACTGGATTTCCTACAGTGTGGTTATGTTACTGGGACTCTGATTTGAGGAGCACAGTACATAGAGAATATTTCCTCTGTGTGTGAAGCCTGCACACAGGGGAGTCTTTCGAAACAGAGAGGGAATTAGCACAAAGGAGAATACACTTCAACCCCAACTGGAATGGATTTCTAATTCTCCTGGTGTTCTTTCCTTTGGGTTGTAGTATGTCTCCAGAAGTCCTCACCATGCATAGAGGACTGTACCTCTGTATTTCTTAATTACAACTTTAAAAGAATTAGTAGGCAACCATGGTACTTGGATCTCATAGTTATTGGGCCTGTATCTTGGTAACATCTCTGGACTTACCATGCCAGCTCTAATTTCTTGGAGTAGGTCATGAAGAACAGAGAGAATTCCTGGACTCTGATAGGACTGAGTAATAAAACACAAAGCTACAGCTGACAGCTTGAAAGGGAATTGTTGGAATGCTCAAAGGAATCTCTGACTACATTCCATATTGATTGAAGTGGGAGACTTATAGGGATTTAGGCTTTGGTGTCTCCGTTTACTTGGTTTGTAAACTCTCAGTACATTGTCACAGGTAGCCCAAGTCCAATAGGATGTGTCTATCTGTTTGGCCAGAATGGGATATGGAATTTTTGCTGGATCTAAAAGTGCAATGGCTGTCTTTGGAGTGGTTGTCCTGCCTCAAGGGTCCATGCCTTCCAAAGCACAGTCAGCACTAAAACTGTCAAATTAAGCAAAACATTTTGAAAGGTGAGGAAGGAGGATGTGTCCTGTTTGAAGCAAAAAGTACACTGAAATATTTTTTTCTGCAGTTCCAGTTTGTCAGCTGTGGGGACATGAGCAGTTTGGTCTGAGAAATCTTGTCCCTTTGGCTTCCTAACCATAGCATAGGGCTGCAGACCCACTCAGTGGGGTGCTGAAAGTGTACGACATCCCCCCTTCATGGCTCTTCACTTCTCAAAGTGCCCCAGCAACTTGTGCAGTGGAGAAACTCCACCTCTTCTCGTCTTCTGTTGCTTGCTCTTTGACTTTCAAAGGGGTGTCAGAGTTAACCTTTAAAGTCTTTGGGCTTCTTTAGACATAGTATGGAGTGACACTCAACAGATGGACTTAATGATCTCAGAGGTCTTTTCCAACCTAAATGATTCTATGATTCTGTGTTCAAGCTAACGAGAGAAGAGTTCTTACTCTGCCACACTGGATAAGGGTAGATTCTTTAAATGTGATATGGGTATGTAACACGTTAAGACATGTTCTGGTTTACTATGGGCAGTGAAACAAGCCTGCCCCTGCACTAGTGATTCCTGTTTGGTTTTGTGCTTTGAATGAATTAAAATAGTAGAATGAGGGTCAGTTAATTTAGAACAAAATGAGAAATGCACAGTTGAGTTGTCACACTTCTGAAAACCGGTATTTCACTTAGTTTCAGAGAATATATCCTTTGCATATATAAAAATAGTGGGGGCAGATGTATCATTAGAATAAATTATCAGTTACAGCATGACAAATAACAACTAAAGTTTTTACTCATCCAGTAAGAGTATCAAAGCTGTACTGGTTTGTAAATGAAATGTAGACACGAGCATAAATTTCAATTACACTTCTCTTTTTAATACTGCAAAGAAATTGATTATCCAGTATAGGAAGAGAACTAATTCTGGTGTTAATAAAGCCATGAGTATGTGGAATGATTTGCATATTAATGTGTAAGTGATGGTAACTGGATAAATGCTTGCCCACTGAATGCCCTAATCTGCATTAATCTCTTCTTCCATTAAATAAATCAGTAAAATACTGTAGTTAGAAAAATAAATGCTTATGTAAGTACAAACCTGATGATTGTACTGGTATCAGCTATGTGCTTCAGTATGTACGTTATATGCTATTTGATATAGATGTTTCAGCTAGACAGCCTTGTCAGGGCAGTAGACATGGATTTTATGCCATCTGCTTTACTGTTGTACCTACAAATTTTCGAGAAGATGATTTCTGATCTTTTAAATTTTCAAGTGAATGAAATGATATTTTGAATTCAATAAATATTCTTGGTAAACTCTAACTCGAGGTATTTTGTTCAGTGCTCAAAGTTGAAGTAAGCAGTAAGGGAGGCAGAAATAGATGCTATCGTATGCAAAAGGAGACCAGTTATTTGTACAACTCACTAAGTTAGACAAGAAGTGGGGAAGAGAGAAAAGGACAAGAGCTGCATGTGCTGTGGTGTCCTCTGGATTGAGACACGTGCCTGAACTATCTCTGTCTCCATCTGAGCTACACACCCTTTACTAGTAATGGTTTATTCTAGCTGAGGATGAGATGAACATCCCCTCCAACAACCGCACCTGTGGAGACCTTTTCAGGTAAGCAAAAATGCCACTAGTTGGAAGATAACAATTAAGAACTAAGTGTGTGTAGCGGGATTGTTTAAAAAAACCCTTAGATGATCTCTAGTATTTTCTTGCTCAAGTGATGCCTGGAAGTGGCAATGGGTGATGATTCAGGTTGGGTATCAGAAGGTTCTTTGCTGAGAAGGCTGTTGGGCACTAGAATGGGCTCCCCAGGGCAGGGGTTGTGGCCCTAAGCCTGCCAGAGTTCAAGAAGCATCTGGACAATGCTCTCAGACACAGGGGCTGATTTTTGGGTGGTCCTGTGTGGAGCCAGGAGCTGGTCTCAGAGTGATTCTTGAGGGTCCCTTCCAAATCAGGATATTCTGAGACTCCTAATAGCAGTCAGCAAGGTCAAACTAAAGGGCTTGTGGCTTGCAATCTGCCTCCCCCTGGGACCAGTGGAAAGCAGACAGCTCAATAAAGTTTTTAAAATCAGCTAAAACAAAGGCTCCTGTAAAACAAGGTACAAATTGACTTTGCCACTTTTCTCTGAACGAGTGTAGCTGATGAAGGTTTCTGGGAATAAATTCTCTGAAGAGTTCCTAGAGAGTCAGTTATGATATTGCTGGATCAGGAGAGGCAGACAGTGGAATGCTGTAATTCACATTAATAACTAAGGAAAAATACAATCCTCACCTTCCCTTCACTAACTACTTGTCCTGTGATGTTCTTGGGATTAAGAAGTCAATTAGGTCTGCCACAGTTTGGCCTAAGCTTCCAAAGTTTACACAATTCCAATACAAATAAAGTATCTTGCTCCCATGTAAACATGACTGACAACAGCCTGGCTCTGGAACACGTACTGAACGTGGAGAAGCCAGCATGCACCTTACTCATAAACAGTCTGTTCTCCTATCTAGTATCGTTTTCTCTTCATTTAGCTTTATGACTTTTTCATAGTAAAAAGAACACTGGAAGGGGACTGCAAATTATCTGGGAACACACATGAACACATCTATCAAGACATTTCTTAATGCTTGTTTCTCTTCCTACATTAAAATAGGACTGGGCTACTGTTCAACTGACTGCTTCCATGCCCAGTTCTGACTCCCTCCCATCTATTCTCACCCCTTCCTGATCCCCTCTCAATGGAGGGGCTGCTACTTCTCAAATAATGTCAGTTAAAAACATGTCATGGTGTGGTCATTTTATGACTCCTATTCAAAGTTCATGTCATTTAGACTTTCATTGGCAGCAATTTTGTCCCATTAAAAAGTTCAAGACAGCAATTTGTGAATCTTGCTCAGCCATGTAGAACCGAGGAAAAAAAAGGAGTTATTTCAAAAGTCAGTTAATTGTGGTCTGTCAGAGTGCTTCTCATTCAGTTTTTTCCAGGCCTTGTCACAGGCTCACATCTGTCAGCCCTGTGTTTCCCAGGCTGCTATCAGATGCCGTTACATTGAAAATAATGGGCTTATTCACACCATTTACTGGACTTCACGTGGTAGACACATTTGTATATCATTTTACGGTGTAACAATTCCATTTACATAAAATATAGGCAGTTATGTGAGCCTGGCCAAAGCACTAAGCAAGGGTGGGAGGAGAGACCATTAAAATAATAAAAGCTAATTGAAAAGAGGCAGATAATTTAGGTGAAAATACCATCGTGAGCAATTATTGATCCTAAGTTAGTTCAACAGAACTTGAAGGATCCAAGTCCAAGTATTATAGATCCAAGTATTTTGGATGTGTTTGAAAACATTAAGAAGTTTAATACACAATGTAAAAAATAAGTTGTATTTTTTTAGAGTACCAACACTCTATTTCAAAAATCTAGTAGTTCTTCGTGAAGGAAGGAAAGTCTTTTTTCTGCCTTAGGGGCAGTTTTTCCCCCAGTTTAGAAGCAGCTTCCAGATTTGTCTGTAAAGGATTGTTGTGTCCTAGGAACCTGATCAGGAATAGCACTGTTGCAAAAATAATCTAGTAGTCAAGTCATACATTCATTTTACATGAAACTGATACTCAGGCAGTTTAACAATCCTTAATCTTGGCACTGTTATTGGTAATGAAGTTATAATTTGGCTGCAAATTCTCAAAGTCACAGTGAAGAGGGCTGCTGCTCTATGGCATGCTGCAATGACAGGTTTGATGGCATACCTGGAGTCCCCTTATTCCTTGTTGGCCCCTGATTCATTTCAGGTACTTGTCTCTGTACTAATTCCTTGAAAACAGAGCTATGGCTTTCTCAGACACTAAGAGAATTATATATCCTGAGGCAAAATTATAAATATGGTATGACTATTAATTACAAGAGCGTTTACTATGTATCTCCGACGTATCGCTGCACTGTAGCAAAGCCAAAACACATCACTTTGGAATAAAAAAAAGCGTTTAGAAAAAAAGTACTCTCGAATCTAATTCTTCACAAGTATTTTGGAAGCCTTGCTAAATTTCAGCAGAATGGGATTAGAACCATTAAAAAGCGGGAAAAGATTGAATCTTGGTAAAGGTCAGAAAAAGAGTAAAAAAAAAAATACTCCTCTTCCATGCTGACGTTAAGCCTAAAGATTTCAGTGGAGAACGAGCTCTGAAGGGAGGTGCTAAAACCTAGGATGTCAGAGAGAAAACACATGCTGCTTTCTCAAAGCCATTTTCACTGTCCAGCTGCGAACAAGTGCTAGTGATTCTGAACTGAGTTAATTCTGCAACGTGTTCAGGAGTGCCTCCCTTAGTCCTTCTCATCCCTAGCCATCTAAAACTGCTTTAAAATACGGACTCTCACTGACAATGGAAGGCATTAGGTATGTGAGTCAGGCAAAGCTCAGCATAAACCCAGATTTCAACCCAGAACTTTGACATGCAGCTCCTGGGCCTTCTCACTACAACTCCCAACCCCTCTGAAAGCCACAGCTTTGCCATTTCACTGTGACATTTTACTTTGTTACACCAACAGGGTTCTTACACTTCTGTTTGAGACAAGCTGAGTTTACAGTTCAGCTAAAAATATTGAAACGTTTACCTTTAAAGTACTAATAGAATTGGAGAAAGGGAATGAATGAGTCACTGCTCTAACAAAGAGTATGAGCCTGTAGTCATGCAATTAATTTCCTACAGAACAGTGTGTTGAAAATTCAGTGCACTTGAAACTATGCGGAAAATGCAAAGGTAGACATAAGGGAAAGACCAGCTGCATTCAAAAAGGGCCAAATTCACTTGGGTGTAAGCCAGCCAAGCCACGTTCAAATCAGACGAGAAAACTTAGCCCCCACTATCTATTCACAAACTTCTACTTCATAGTGTTGGTCCAGTCATTCACCGACTCATTAGAGATTCTTACAGCTCTTTTTTGTCTTTCAATGAAGTGAGGAAACATCCTGTCTATCTTTTGATTCTTGATCTACACATCGGGCACGAATCCAGCAAAGAACAAATGATTAAGTGCATAAAGACCCCACTGCTTTATGAAATGTTACAGAGCAGAAGGATTATGGAAAAGGCTTCACTTGCTTCCTGGAAGAGGCCGAAAGACTTAAGCTTGCAATGCTAAAGGGGAAAATGTTCAACCGGCTTTCCTCAATAAAAATATTTCATTGGGTTAAATTTAACCACAGTAAAGAAAGAACATCACGTGTTTGCTTGCAGTTGCTCACAAATGGGTTGAGTATAACTTACCCCCCTTCCCCATAGTCCATCTAGCTCAGATCACAGGGCTTGCACTAATGAGAGCAGGCACCCAAATCCCACCAATAATTGCCTTGTGCTGCCTCAGCCCTCCACTTGTGAAACAAGTGATATTATTTCACTTCAGATCCAATTCTCATTCACCTCTAGTTGGAGAAACTGATCCCTAAAGCTTAAAAGAAACAGTTGTATTAGGCTTCTGGCACCCTTACTTTGTTTTTAGGCATTCCCTTATTCCCTGAAGGTTCCCTATGCCCTTGTAATGCTGCCCGGCCTTTGTTTACCCACCACCAACGCAGCCATAATGTCAGAAAACCACAGGAAAGGAAGGTTTCCATTCTTTACTGTTAGGGATCCCTGGTTATATTCACTTATTTTTAAAACTCTCTGCTGGGTGCCGTACAGACTGCTTGCATAATTTATTTTCTTTCACTCTTTCCAACTTCTTGCTGCCTGGTAAGACCATAATGCATACAGAACTGCAACTGTTGGCTCCTGTTATACACAAGCTAACTTGACAAGGAAGAGTATTCCCTTTACCTTTCATTCTCCTACACCTAAGAAACTGTAGCTAGAAACTGTAACACAGGATGCAAGGGAAACAAACATTGCTTGCTGCCCTGTGTAACTAAGAAACTGCACTGTATTACCTTAGGCTGACAGTTTAAACCACCAGAAGACAAAATTAAAATGTCCTGCATGTTACAGCTCCTTGTTCCAATAATGGTTGCCCATCCTGTCTAAGGATAATAATCTTAATAAAGTTACTGAAATTAAGTAGTGTGTAACCTGATCTTATATTGCTCTTCAAATACATCCCTGCTCTTCCACTGATTCTGATTTTCCATCTTTTCCAGCTTTATCCCACTGTTACTCACGCCTATTATCTTGACATACTGTCTTGAAGTTGGAAGAAATTTGGACCTAGGGTAAAGAACTGAAGCACTATGGATTTTATGAGTGTTGGCACTCCATATATCACAGAAATTCTCTCTTAAATATGCAGATACTTGTTCATCTTTCTAACTGCGTTTTTGTCTGGTCTTTGCTTCCGAATCTTTTCCTATAGAGAAAAACATTTGGCTCCCTCGATGGACTATTTCTATTTTCCAAGAATGGTCTGAGCACTCTGAAGTAACTTTCACCTAGTTTCCTTTTTTTTTTTTTTTTTTTTTTTTTTTTTTTTTTTTTTCCCCAGCTCTTCTCTTTCACTTTCCTATCTATTGTTTGTTTTCCCATTTGCTAGCAAAGTGGTAAGGAAGGCCCGTAGGGGAAGAACAATGCGATGCTTTTACTTTCTTCTTTGTTCCTTCAGAGTATTTGTTTAAAATCTGAAACAAATTCAAACTAAAAGATTTTCCCCTGCCAAAGCTTTTTGTTCCAGCACTTGGAAACATTTGGGTACCTCTCTACATGTTACTGGTGTCACAACAGTGATCTCAACTCCATGCAATGTATGGAGACTACAGTGAAACAGAATTAATATATTCAACATCCACAAGCTCTAGTAATCTCTTCATTATGGATCACCGATTGCAGGAATTTCATGTTACTCATTACAATGCAGACAAGCCTGCATAGCTGTGGATTAAATCACTGGATCACATGCACTTCAGAAGTATGTATCTTGTATGATATTTCAATCACACTGGGTTATTTCAGGTTTTCAACCAATTGTTAACTGAAGTACCTATTTGTTGGAAAAAGAACACATTGTTTCAAAGGAACAATGCTCCATGAAAGCTAATATTAATTATAGTATTGATGCCATTGAAAAATCACTAAGGACCCTTTAAAATGAAAAAAAAAAAACAAAAACCAACACACACAACAAAAACCACCACAACACACACGTTTGCTATGTACAAATATAGCAAATATACAAAACAAGAAATGCAGTACCTCTAATCTATAGTAGTTCCTCTAATCTATACCAAGACAGAGATATCTCTCACATTTTCTCTCACATCTACAGTGCAAATACCAAAGAGTACCCCATTTAAAATCTCAGATGTAGCAGTGATCTCCAGCTCTCAAAAGCCATGTACTTGGATACCCCTGTATATCCTCTAATACTTTCCAAGAGCCAATTCTCTTAGCTCTTTCCTATTGTGCACTCAACAATAACTAGAGCTAGCTGTAGATCCAGTACTATGAAAACCTACTATTACATTCCAATGCAGACAATGCTACGACCTAAACTTCTGATTATTTCAATGCATTTCTCGAAGAGCTTTCCTCATCTGGTAATGATACCAGTTCATATGAGCTTAGTGCTGTATCTCTCATTTGTCATGTGGAACAAAATCCGATACTATCAATTATGCTGAAATCAACAGAGAATTGTGGAATTACATCAGCTGTGATCCTGCTCCAGAGGGTTAGTTAATATTTCTACTGACATACAGAAGGTGAAAAAAATGGCAAACCTACCAATTGTTTGAGGGTTTAGTAACAAATGCTAACTATGGTTTTAGCTATAATCATAGGAATGTGGAATGATGAAGTGGTGAGATGCCCAGAAATGATCTCGTAGTTAAGAAGATAAATAGGAATCAAATGGAAGGGAAATCAACTGGAGATGGGTGAAGAGAGGAAAAAAAATAGAGAAAAAGCACATAGTAAGTGCCCAGAGTAAAGATGGAGAGAATATCTTAATACTGAGCACTAGCTGCCTTCTAACTACAAAACAAAGATAACCTTTTCAAAACTCACAGTTATTTTTTGAGGCAAAGAGGATTTGAAGAGGGAGAAAGTAATGCAACCCAGTTTATGGATTAGTGGTCAAAGTTTACAGGGCTCACAGAGCCATTATCTCCAAGAAATTCTCCAGGCTCCTGTTTTGGTGAAATTGTTAGTTTTAGCCCTTGGTTTTAATGCTGTTTCAGATTCAGTATCCAAAAACAGGGCCAAACTTTTTCAACTCTCACGTCCTGTGTTACTCCTGTCAATTGAGCTGAAACTCGCATGGGTTGGCTCTTCTTTCTCTGGCAGCATGGTAAATGAAACTGAAATCTTTAAACCGAGGAGCACAGCCCAACCAGGCTTCGCCAAAATGTTCATTTCCAGTGAAAAGAAAATCTCCAGTTCCCTTCTTCACCTTGCACTGTAGCAGGGTTCGTATAGGGCCTCGCCATTCACCACTTGCTTCATCCTGCTGGAAAATTCTGTTTTTCTGTCTGTAGACTTTCTGGACGTTGACATCAACCTGTGACATGTGGTTCTCAGAATCGTGGGAAACATTTCGGATAGATCCTTTCACCACTAAATGTGAAGAAGACAGGAGTTGGTTATGGAGCAGCAGGTAAGTAGCTCATGTATAAGGAGCTCACTGAATGAAATAATTGGAGAAATAAATCTGTTGCATGGCTCGCACTGCAACCACCTACAGGCAGACACATTTCTGAGCATACATTGCTTCCTGTACAAAGGACAGTCCAAAGCCCGACACAAACAGTGCTATGTGCTTGTAAGCATGCTTTATAACTGCTCAAATCGACTATGCTCGCGAAGAAATGTATAACTTGTTTGATAACGCAAATCAGCAGTAAAGAATAAAAAGCACAGGAAAAGAGGTCAGCTCAGGGATTCAGTTTATGTTCCAAGTCAAAGACTGTCACAGACTAAACTCCTTCCTGTCTCCACAGGACTCTCAGTTTTCTTCTTTGACAGCAGTAAAATAAATTGATTTAAGAAGAATTAGAATATGACTCGATTGGGAAAAATAAGAGCTTGTTAAACACTTTTCATTTAAATGTTTGAGGTTTCTTCCCTCAAAAGAAAACATTATCCATCCAGAAAAAGATACTTTCAGAGTCAGTGAACAGCATGCAGAACTCTTCAAGTAACTTTATTTTAATCCCTATTTAAAATCACATAGATTCATGTACCTCTTTCTCCCAAAACAATCCCATTTGGGCTTTGGGCAACTGAGGGGTTGTCAGTGAAACTGGAACTTTGCCATACTTCTGCCACAAAACTCTTTCATTCAGGTACAGAGAACTCGACAACAGATGAAACAGAAAGAACGCATTTCTGAAATTTCCAAGACCTTCCTATCTAACTCAATTTCCAAGGGAATCCAGGATTTTGTGTAACAGATGTCTCTGCTCTCCATCTCTCTCTCTAATAATTTTTAATCAGATGCATCCAAGTCTATTGACAAGCTATAATGCACTTGTTCTTGGTGCTCCAAGTTGCTCCTGCATTGCTCAGGGCCTAGTGACAGAAGACCTCGTCCTGAGATTAACTATAAAGCCCCTATTCACTCCCAGTGTCATTTACACTTTCATTAGCAGCTATTTTCTCTAATCAAAAAAGTTGATGATAGCGATTTGTGAGCTCAGGGCAAGGAAGTCAGGCCATAAATAGAGTCAGTTCAAAGGGCTATTTCTTCTGGTCTGTTGCTGCTCTAAGTGTAAATGCTCCCCATTGTGCTCTGGGCCTCCACATCTGTCAGTCTCTGGTTTTTCAGGCAGTACAGGGGAGAGTGCCTTGCATGGGAACTGATAACTTCATCAAGTAGAAACAATGGGACAGATTGCATCAATTAATTTAGATGAAGAAAAATTACCAGCTAAGGAACATTATTTAAGGGAAGCATGCTCTATGCTCTGGTTTTGTGTTAGCACAATGATGCTGGGGTGTGAGAAAATTATCTGTAGTGTTTGAAGTACAGCAATCTTTAGGAAGAAGTAGGAAAGCAGTTGTTTCGTGTTTTCTTTTAAACACTGAAAAGAAATAAAGGAAATACAGCTACAGACTATATTTACACCTGTTCATAGGCACATTTACAGCAATACAATTGTGGCCATGCGGAGATACAGCTCTACAGCTTCATCTTTCGGACTTCTGTCTCTAAGAGGCACAAATTTTAATTTGTAAAATTATGGGAATAAAACAAATAGCAATCCACAGGGAGAAAAAAAAAAAAAGACAGTGATATTGCAATTGAAGTAAATAAAATAGGAAGAGTTTTTAATGTACCACCAAATCAGCATTTTAACTGCTTTGTTTTCTCATCAAGCCTGAAACTGAAACAGTATGTCACTGAAGGAAGTTGAAATCACCTGAAATCCTTAGCTAAACTACAAACAACTCACTACTTTTGTAGAAAGAGAACTAGGAAGTGTGCAAATTGTGAGGGAAAAGAAAGGACATATTCATCATCTGGGAAAAAATAGATTAAGGGAATAAAAAGGAATGTAAATAGGATGCATCGTTTGTGCATACGTGTGTTATCTACAGGCATGTGACTTTGTGAGAGTCAGCAGTACACTTGTGAGAATTACTTTTAGCTCAGTTTTAGATCACAACCTTTCTGCCTGCAGGAAATGAGGACCTTGAAAGGAAGCTTCTCCCTTTCAGGTTTCCTTCCCCTCCCCCAGTTCAAGTTGTTTTTCACAAAGATATTTTCCTTCTCAGATCAGGGTGCATAGTCATGTCATTACTTTAAGAAATCAATCAAATAAATCCAAATAATCAATATGTATTTATAAAGTCAGAATGACTTCTCTTTAGTCAGCTTACCAAAATCACTGCTGCAAATAGCCATAAGAAGTTCCACGTTGTCACAAGGACGGCACATAGCTTTAAAAAAAAAAAAAAAAAAAAAAAAAGCCAGTCAGTTACGATACAATACTATGCCTCATTGCTAAAGGGTTTGACATTGACACATGAGAGGAAATGGGGCAGAGGTACTACTTTAAACAGCATTATGATCAGACAAAACAAAATTCTTGTTACGCAAACACAACCAAAACAATGAAATAAGCACAGAGGATTTCTAATAGTCATTGAGTGACAACATGGCCTGACAGCCTATAATCCCTTTAACAACTCATCAAACATGCAAAAGATATAGCAGAAAACATGAGCACCTGGCACATTGCTACCCTCCACCATTTTTGAAACAAGGAAAAAAAATAGGCATCTATGCATGAACTGGGTCCTATGATGACTTCAAACAACACTTAGCTCCACAGTCATGAATACTCTGGTATCGCTTACTGAAACAACATTAGCAATCCAGCATGGATGTGGTTGAATTTTAGTTATCCATACACACATTAGATATCCTGCTTGTTATTGAAAGCTCCTGTATCAAGTATTGAACAGTCAGGCCAACAAGCACTCCCTAAAATAAGTGTGTTCCTCAAGTTAATGCCACAAAGCTCTAGCAAACAGCAAAGCTATGCAAAGCAGTGGCCTGAACAGGTTAACAAAAGGGATATGACAGTCCAGAAGTGCTATGGTTGCTCTTTTATTTATTCTTTCCCTATTTTACAGGGCAGTTGCTTACTATTGTAACGTGGCTTGAACGCTCCCCTTATTTATCTGGCCTTGGTTATCAGGTTTGACTTAGATATTATCTACTGGGGACAGTGAGGACACAATGGCAGCAGTACGTGGGTCCCAACCTTTCAGAACCTGAATTGAAATGAGCCCTCTTCATACATCAATTGGGGGGGGTGGGGGGGGGGAGAGGGCACAGATGCACATATGCACATAAATGTTATTGAGTGCAAGATTTGTTTGTTTACGAACAGGAACAAGAAAGAAAGGTAAATGAAATTTCAAGCAACTTAGGTGTTTTTAAAAGATTGAATTTTCAGTGACCATCTTGGGGAGACCAATTCTTAATGAATTTAAACTTCTCCTAAATATGGTATTTCGACTCCTAAACCACACAGATGCTCTTTGTGACAGTACCTCCCAGGGGCTGGAGTCACCCTGATTGCTCTGCATATATCCACGGCCAAGCTAGCTGCTAAAGGAAGGACTGAGTTTCTCTTTATAATGCAGAATTTGCTCCTGTGCCTACCGGATGCCCCTGACAATGGAAATCTGAGCACACATAACTGGTTATACTGCACCCCTGTAACACTGTGAGCTGGCAGAAGGATTTCCCTTGCCATGACAAACCCCTTCATCCAAACCAGCTTCTGTCACTATATACAGATGTGATCTTGGATCCACCCCAACAACGGAGCCCTGAAGCAGACCCTTCTCTTACCTTTGACCAGTGTCATCTTTTTGAAGTCAGGGCCAGCAGCACTCTGGTTGCCCAGCAGCTCGTACTGGAAGCTGGCCGTCCGGCGGCTGATGTCCTTCTGGGGGCTGGCCTGCAGGAAGAGGGCCACTCGTTGCGGTGTGTGGGCACTGAAGCAAGACACGTGGTGGGGTCGAGTGCCTCCTGCCTCGCTTACCACCAGATGTAGCCGCCCAGCACGTTCCACGTAGATGCTGGCACCCTGGAAGTCGCTGGCTGGCTTGATGCAGACGGTGGTGTGCTGGGCACTGGACAGGTTGGGCTCCAGAACGACACGCAGGGCTCGCGCTGGGTACATCCATTCCAGGGAGCCCTCAGTGCAGCGCAGGTGGACCTGCTCCACTGCACGGGAACGGGGCTCCCAGCTCAAACCACTGCCAAGACAACACCATCAGTCCATCACTAACGATATCCACAGCACAGGTGGAATGTCCAGCAGTTACCGCCCAGAGGTAAGGGTGGTGTCTGTGCAGCTAACACCCTCCAGCTGGGCTGCCTTTCCTCCCCAGCCTCTGAGGACTTGCTGCAGGTGCAGCCGCAGTGCCACGGGACCGCTCGCACCTGGTGCTGCACCGGCTGCAGAAAGGAGCCTCAGCCCCCTATGCCCAACCACAGGTCCACACCTGGATGTTTGCAGCATCCAGAAAAATATTAAATTCCCTCCGTGAAACAGCAGCAAAAGCTTGGTGGGCGGTAGGTCTTTCTAATCTCTCTGGAAAATCCCACCTCGGGGCAGGTGAGAGCACGGACTCGCAGTAGGAGCTGCACAGCTTGTGGTGTTGTGTCTGAAAATCAGATTTAAAAGCCTACATTTTAAAGTTTATTTATTTATTTATTTTTTAATGCTGCTGGCAGGAACTCATCAAGAAAAATGGTTTTATTGGAAGCAGGCTGAGCACCAAGCCGGTGCAATTTTGCTGCCTTCAAGAGAGTTACTTCTGGCTGTACCGCTCTCAAAAACCCCACCGAGCTCCAGCAGCAGCCCTGGCCGAAAGGCACCGACCACGCCAGGCGCTGTCCCCTCGGTGAGGGCTCCGCCAAGCATCCTCCTGCGGAAACGCCGGCGCTGAACCCTCCGGCGGGGCAGAGCCGAGGCTCGCAGTCGCCTCTCGCCACACGGGGCCGGGGCCGCTCCCGCTGCTGCCCCCCCGGCCGGGCCCTGAGGCGAATGGCGGGTCCCTGAGGCGAACCCCGGGGCCGCGGGCTCCCACCTGCCCTGCCCCTACCTGCCCGGCTCCTACCTGCCCCTCCAGCTGCAGTAGTCGGCGGCACCCGGCTGCTGCCCACCGGCCGCCAGCAGCACCAGCAGTAGGGCCGGGAGGAGGCCCCGCTCCGCCTCCATGGCAGCCCGGCCGGCACCCCCGGCGGACAGACGGCGCGGCCGGGCCGGGCCGGGCTCTAAGGGCGGCCGGGAGGGGACAAGGGGGGGGTCCCGGGACCCCGCCGCCGCCCCCGGCCCCGCCGCGAGCACCCCCGAGCGGCCGCAGCGCCCCGTGCAACAAGGGCAGATTTGTCTTTCAAGTATCTTAACGCCATCAGTAACAGCTTCTGAGTGCAGTTCAGGAACAAACACAAGTCGTGTCACTGTAATCAAAGCAAACAGCGAATGATTGATGGAGATTCAAGAGTTTAACTCCTGCTTTCATTATTACTTTTCAGGGGTCCGCGCACAAGAAAGGGTGAGGGCCTGCGATTATCATACTAAAAGGCAAGCCGGGCCTGCCAGTAATTAGATTTCTATATGCATTGCACTTTCCATATTTTCAATGAACGACATGGGGAGCTGCTCTTTTGCAGGTCTGAGAGACCGAGGCTCTTTTCTGCGGCTCTTCAGCATGGAATCGGGATTTTGCAGCAGGGTCGCGACAATGGGCCCCAGCGCTGCTGGGTGGCACAGGCGAAGATCCGTGCAGCATTGTCACCGGGGCTCCATGGCCATCTGTTACCTTGTGGTGAGCAGCACGCTCTCACATTGCCCCCAGCCGCTCCAGGAAACAGAGGCAGAGTTTGTACCTTCACAGCTCTGCACTTACGGCTTTTCCTTAACAGGAAGACATAGATATCCTGAAAAAACAGTTTTAGCCCTCAAATGCTGAAAGCTAGACTACTTGAACGTTGTTTGGACCCTCACACAACCACTTTACTTTTCATTATCAAGTATTTTACAGTTTTATTTTTATTTATCACAGAGCAGATAACCTCAGCCTTGACTTGCACTTCTCTAACACCCCGCAGCTCCCCACACCTACCTGTGGTGTGACTCGTTACACTTCAGGCAAAACTGGCTCAATCTGGTGCTGTGCACAGTTCAATCCAGCAGTTCTAAAAACATTTAAAAATGCATTAAACCTAGATCTTGTATTAACATAAGTGTCAGTGATCCTCAGTGCTCTGTGAAACTATTGTCTTACCACATAAGAGAAAAACCTGCTATCTATGCTTTGACCCAATCCTGAATGGGAAACAACACACAAATAGTCTTTAAAAGGTTTGATTGTGGCATAATCTAGGAGCTAAGAGGCCAGAGCCCATTCTCTCTTTTGTGCAAATTAGATCAGGGAACAGAGGAGAGGACTTGGGGAACAGAACTGACATCATGATAAAGAGCCCCCCCAGGAGGATTTATTCACTTCCAAAGGCTCAAACTAACCCATCTGCTGCCATCAGGAAAAAGCATTGAGCCACTTGATCTCTGAACTTCTTCCAGCAGCAGTTTTCCCTTTCTGTGGAAAGCACTGCATGTGTTTTTGCTGACTTGTGTTCAGCATCCCTCCTGCTCCAGTTTATGTTAATACCACGTAACACCAAAACATCTGCTGTTAAAACCCTTATCTGTAAAGAGCAATTTCTAAATAATACAGTTGTACCTATCTTCCCCTTTAGCTAAATAAAAAGCACACACTGTTCTAATAACCCTAATAACTAACGACAAAGGTAAGATAGAACAACTGAGACATTTCATTTCACTACTAAAGTCTGTGTTTTTTAAATTATTTTAAATGTTTTTTAAATGACAAAATATCTATTATAAAGCCATACGAACTCAACTTTTCCCCTCAGGTAAATACCTCCACACAGTACAAAACCCGTCTCCTTCAACCCTGTTGTAACCCATTTGAAAAAAAGCTACAGAACCTTTTAAGTGATAAAATAAATTGTTTTGTAAGATTCAAGCAGGAAACTGCTAGCCATTATAAAAACTTGTGAATGCTTACCCAGGAAGGATGCCCCATATACACAAGTAATAGTTTATTAAAAAGATGTAGCATGCATGCTACATAAGAAGCTGCTGGTCCAGCTCTGCAGCCCAGCACGTTGCCTCAGACAGAATGAATTTTAATGCTTTGGGCCATTTATGTGCTGAATGTTTCAGTTTATTACCTGTAATGAGGAGGCTTGCTGAACAAGCATAAAGGGAAAGGCAGAAACTGAAAGAAGCTTATCATACACCAGCCCCCTAAAGCCAGGCAGCAATCTTCATCACTAGGTTGTTATGGATTCAAAAACTTGCATTTGCTTCTGTGCATAGTGAGGAACAGGAAAAACTGAGTTTAAATATTTTAATCCATACACTTTAGTCTACAGAGAAATACAGTACAAATAGCAAGACAACAAAAAGATGCATTAGGAAATTTAGTAACAGAGTCAGTACTGCGAAAAATCTATAGTTGCAAACTTCTATGAAGAATACAGAGTAGATGTTTCTCAAAAGAGCCTTCTGGGAGCTTAAGACACAAGAAATAGGCCACAATACTATTGACTAAACACAAATGTTTTCTTCAGTTTCACTTGTGTTAAGGTGGAGTGCTGCCACAGAACCTGATGGAGCCTATAGACAAAGCTTGGCCCAATTACTCAAATACTACATATCACCCACATGTAATAATTTGGGTAAACCTGTCACATTTCACATGTCAATGCTAGTATCACCTGCTTCAGTAGTAAGGGATTAAGCCAGTAAGAGCACAAACAAAGCAGCGTTTTATGCAAAGTTCTAGAATCATACTTGCTGTGTGTCTACACAGCAAATAAGACATTTCCCAGCCTTTGCAAGTAGAAGTTGTACATGAATACCTCCTTATCCTCCCATTTCTACCTTCCTTCTTTTAACCAAAGAAAAAAAAATGTATTTGAAAGCAGCGTGATGTAAAGAAAAAATGTAACAACTTTTGTCTTTAGAAGTTTGCATTGGAGGTACAATATTATGCTGCCTGGCTATTTCTTTGCAAGCAAGATCTCATGTACGTTACTGCTACGAGCATTCAGCTTTGCTCTAAGATTTTGTTTTCTGAGAAGAGAGGTGGGAGAGGTGCGAATGGCTTTTGCTGAGGTTGGACACTAAGTAATACATGTGTGTTAAACTGCACCATAGGGAAACAACTGTTCTGTCAAGTGCAATGATCATTCCTGCGTTAGGGCTCTGCAGCAGGGAGAAAACAAAAAAACCCAACAAAACAACACATGAAAACAAAACACCAAATCCCAAATGTTATCTTGGTTGAAAAAAATGATAAAAATTCTACCTTTTCATCTATTATTTGCATTTCAAGTTCATTTTTCTCCTTTAGTGCAATTTCAGAATATGCATAAACACATTCAATGCAAATTCCAAGTCACAGCATCACAGTATTTCCAAGCTAAAGAATAACTTTTTTTTTTTTAAATTTTAACATGCTGGTATTTTCATTTAAGTAGTTATTAATTTAAAGTTACAGCTCTTAAGAGTCACATTTTTACAGTATTCTAATCACTAATTACTAAACAGAAATAACTAGTATACATATTGAAGTTACAAGCTACAAAAATAAAAATCCGTTCTGTTTAACTATAAAAATCCTATAAAGAGAAGATGGCTGGAGGTACTCGAAGGATTACAATAGTTGGTAGCAGACAAAATGGCTTTTGAGGGATGTAAACTTTGAAGACACAGAATGCAATAAACTCACAACATTAGTTCCCACTTACTCTTAAGAAAAAAGTGATTTATATTGAAATCTGCAAACAAGTTTCAAATAAACAAATGAATTACATACAACAATAGGAGTATACAGCACAGTAAACAAGGTAGCATTAATGAAAAACAAAGTAAAATTTTGAATACATTCATACTTTCAAACAGTAAAGACCAGAGCCTCAGTGAAAGCAAGTCAGCATAACATCACTAGGTTTAGTTGAGGCATGTGGCTTTACTCCAGCCTAAAGTCTCTCCCTGAGATGCCCAAAACCTGAACTGGGTATTCAGCATTCTTAGTGAGATATTTTGATCTGCCATGCTTTTAGAACTGCAGCCTAAACAATACTGAAATAGTGAATGTGTAAATTCACTCAATCTATCTAATTGCTAAATGAAAATGTGGTCTCATTTCATTCCCGTGTTCAGGAAGCAGCTACAGTTTCTCAGAAAAGAAGTCAGAACGTTTTAAAACAAGTGTTTCACATTCATCAGGATCAGTGATGCTACTAGCATGTTTAAATCTAAAAAGATATCCTAGTCTATTCTTAACCAAGAACAATCTTGTTTCTTTAAAAAAAAAGAAAACTGCTAATACTAGATACGAAATACAGAACAAAAAAGGATTTTCAGTTAGAACACATGCAAAGATTCTTAAGTGTCCTACTCTTATGTGTATATTAACCAGTTAGGCTTCAGTGCTGCTCTACCAAATGTATTTGTTCCTACGTAAAAAAGAAGCATTGTAGCATTGATACTGTTATGCTGTTTACAGCTAATGTACAGTGCTTTTTTTTTTTTAAACCAGTTAGATACAATAATATACACTAAAAAGCTGTGAGCATCAGTTCATGTAATGCAGATCCAGAAGAAATTGGCAGAACCTAAACCAGAAATTACTAATTCTGAGAACCTGTGTAGAAAGTGGAGATTCATCCCCAGCAGCAAAAAGCAAAAACTGTACTTTCAAAATAGGTCTGTAGGACAGGGAACACTACACCTGATGTGCCCATTCTAATATTCTCCAGGTGTCAGTCTGAGTAAATTAGAAATTAAGGTGACTGGAAAGGGCAAAAAAGGTGAGTTACAAATATGCTGTATGAAACCATTCCAGTTTGCGTTTCTGACAAACCAGCTGGCATAAAGTATAAAACAAACAGAAGAGAAGCTCACTATCCTGTTTCAGCAGAGTTTCTGACACTGTCCCAACTGATGTTTTTAGCTAAAGTATACAAACTAAAAATGAGAAGTTAAAATGACTGAGGGGAAAAAAGTACTTACTGAATAGCTGCAAATTCTGTCAAGACAAGATGTACCAAGGAACAAACTCCCAATCTGAATCAGCTGAAATTATATATATATATTTTTAAAACTTTTGATATAAACATCACTTTAAGATGACAATTTTCTCCAAGCGTGTTCAAACATGGTAGCATTTTCTTGTGCAACCAGGAGAAACTCAAGTCTGCATTCCAAGAACAGTACTTAAAGCTTCTAACTATAGTAAACAGTGTTCCAAGTTACTCAGTGCCTAAGAAAAGCAAGACCTGAAAACACAAAACTATGAAGGGGCAACAGAAAACTGAACATACATGGTTATCACATGCATAAATTAAGCTATACCATCTTTACATTAGGAAAACAAAATGCAATTCATAACAGAGCTGAGAAAAATATTCAAGTTTGAGCATAAGTTCAAATTAATTTGAAACAAATCTCACAATTGCAGTAGAACGAAAACAAAGCTGAATGTGGTTGCCATCCACCTCAGCTGTTTTTAAAGACGAAGAATGCACCTTTGGACTTCAGACACCTTTTTAAATAGTCCATACAAGGATAAAGATACAAAAGGCAGGTGGTATTTGGAACAGTTTAACCTTGCTATGAATTGCTCAAAGTAGAGGATAAAAAAAATGTAAAAACAAAACCTATGACAAATCTCTATGCATATGAAAATGCACACACATACCCCCTCTCAATGAACACGTAAACAAACTAGCTTTGAGTAAGGCAGGAAGCTCACGCACAGAAAGACTCTCCATATAAGTTAAAGTTTGCTGTTTGCATTTCACAGGATTGAGAACCTACAATAAAGGAAATTATCAGCATCTGACCAAACTTCTGTTAAGGTAGCCTATACTGCAGTAAAACTTAAAAATAGTTTTAGTGAATTCATTTTTGAGTGCTTGACAATATATGTTATTATTCACTCTATACATTTTAAGCAAAGTTATACTGCATGAAGACTGCCAGAAGAAACTATTCATTATTTGTCACTATTTTCCCCAACATTAGTCAGTAAGAGGGCATGGGAGAATATTTCCACACAGGGCATGAGCTCCAGCTGCAGAGTACCCTCTTCTGGGTAAAGGACGTACTGCAGTATTTTCAGGTTTCTGATCTGTTTTCAGAAGAGCTATCTATACAGTTGCTATTTGTACTGGTGCTTTATGCACCTACAACATTAAAAAAAACATGTAGCAGTTTTAAAGCCACAACACACATGACAACATTAAGCAACTACAGCTATATTATAAGTTAGAGAAGTTCATTTACGTCAGCATTAGAATCTGGGAGCCTGTGTACTATGTTTGAGCTTTCTCAAGTTGGACTAATAACAACTTCAGGACAATTTGCAACATACTGGAAAGGAGGACACATGTAAATCAAAGGATGGTGTGTTGGACACAGCAAGACTTCCCAAAGACTTCCCAGCAGATTCTAGTGCTAACATCGTATGTTTAAAAAGATTTTTTTTTTTTGTCATGCATATGACAATGATATAATTATAATAGAAGGATGACCACACATCTGCTTAGGAACCGGATACTTACAGAATATTCTCCATACCATAAATACAATTTTACAAGAGGCTTTCCATGCCTAAAAAGGCTACACATGCTGTCTACCATTTCCTGCATTCACCAAGAGTCAAACTTTTTCACTTCCACATGCAAGATGGGGATGATGATCTGTCCAATACAAACAAGACCATTTCTTGGGGGTTCTCCCCCAAAAGTGCTCAATTAGATACATTTGCATTTCCCAAAGAGTATTTCACACATTTAGGACTGGATTCATAACAACCTGCAGTAAGTGTGAGGATCTAGTCTGCACAAACATAGTACAATATCACTGGTACACATTCAGGCAAAACAGATGTGGAAAAGTCAGCTCACCGACTGGAGGAAAAAAAAAGGAAGCTTTCAAAGTCTTCACGTCACATATTTTTCAGGATGTTGGGAGTTTAAGAAGTGAACATTTTGAACTGTTAAAGATTCTTAAGATACAAAATAATTCGAATAATCATCTGATCAACTTTAGATAGCTCTTTAAACTGCATTCTGAATAGTTTAAATTAAGTATACAAAATACTGCCCTTCATAACACATACCCTGCTTTTCCAGAGACTTGTCAGTTGTTTGTAAACAATAGTTACATAGCACAGAACTTAAGTATTTTGGGGATGCTAATGCCTGTAAATTATCCAAATAAAAATAAATAACTAGAAAGACTTTTGAAGCTACAATACAAATTGAACCTCCATAACAACAGCAACAAAAGGTTAGGATACTGGGTTTATCTAACATTGCATGTTTTTGTGTATTTTAAATACATTTTATATAGACTTAACAATAAATTTGTCCTCTGTATTTACATACTATAAAATAATTAAGATGAGGTGTGGGAGGCTAATGAATATGGAATTTACAAGTGGCTTCTGTTTTACAGTTCGTTACACTCTGGTCACATATCCAGACAACTAAAAATTCACTGGCAATCAGTAGTATTTTAAGATCTAGCACGTACACTTTCTAGAGTGAATACCATCAGTTTAAAAATGCTCTCCAAAGATGATTACAATTGAAGATTCTAAAAATACTGACATTTCCAAGGCTTAAATAAATTATTTTAAAATATAAATAGTTCCTTCACTGTTAATGCAAACTTTGTTTTATAGATTGCTGAAAAACAGTTTCATTTTACAAAACCTAGAAACACAATCTACCCAATGGTTTTGCTTTCAGTTAGCATGAAAAAAAAAAAAGTGACTGGGGCAGTTTGACAAAAGCAGCAACATTCAAAGCTATGATCAATGCCCCTCAACTTCTCTTATGATCTTAGCTTATGCAATATACATTCAGCGTAAATTCTCTTCTTATTCAAGAACTCAACTGGACTTAACTGAATTATTAGTTACAAACCTCAAAATCTTAACTCACATGTCTCACGTGCTGCAGGCTTAAAATATCTCTAAGGGAAAACTAAAAAGGAAGCAGGTTTTTACTTCTGTTAGACATGAAGATGTTTTTACCTGAGAAGCTTGGAACCTGAGTAGCTTCAGATATGTCAAATTGACCGTTTACTTGTACTGGTGTGTGTGTGTTCTTAACCTTTACTACCATGATAGGCCACTAACCTTTTCCTGGCCCAGTATTCATATGAGAAATGAAGATTCAGGCCGAATTATCTTTGACCCCCCTAAGAGCCAGTTAGAAAACAAATTTACCCTCCACACACATCAAATGATACACGTGAACAAAAGAACTTGCTAACCTCTGCAAACCTCTCTCTCAATCTCCACAATTCAAACTGAAACAGTTAACAGACTGACTTGCTATTGATTGTTTCCAGGTAACAAAGCGAGATCTTTAACAAGCCTCTTAAAAAAAAAAAAAAAAGAAAAAAAGGTTTGCCAGCTATCATTACTTCTTTAAAACCGTCTTTAAAACACAGCTAAAACAGACAGCTCCAGGTTTTCTTCCAAGAAGCCTCCTCTAGAACTATAACATGTTGCTATTTACAAAAACTAGAATTAATCTCTTGCTGACTGAAGCAGTCAGTCACAGGATCATTCAGTGCAAGTCATGGTACAATTACTTTGATGTTGTATCTTGGGTACTCAGGAATACTCCATCTATGGCTTACAAAGCCACTGAAAAAGTCATTTGCTAACAGACCCTTTCCAGAAACCTTTGGTCCAAAACTACCTTTCCTTGCTAGCTGCCTTTCCAAGAGCCCCCACATCTCCACTCTCCCAGTCAGGCCTACTAGGTATGTACTGCACACACAGGAGCACAAAAAAGTTTGTCCTACTTCCAAGAAGAGATGGCAGACAGGACCAGCAGGCTGTTGACAGAAAAAAAACAGCCCACATTTTACTTGGTCTGTTTTTCTGTTCTGGAAGCATTCCTGGAGAAAATAACAGGTGGAAGCAGGCTGAACTCCAACTGTTCCCCTTTTCAAGGGTATCAAAACTTATGCATACTATATTGTATATGTGCAGAAGATCTGATTCCACAACAAGGAAGGGCTTCTGTATCTGGTCCTTCCCTGACAGAGTAACTGGCTCCTCAGCTAGAAAGGCTGGGTACCACTATCAACCTAAAAGGCAAAGCAGTTGTGGTAATTCAGCTGTGAAAGTTTTCATGAATGTGAAAGCACGGCTTTTTCCTCGACCCTAGTTCATTTACAAGTATGAACCTTACAGCACAATCCTTGATCTAGGTTAAGTGTTCTCAGTGCTTTTAATGGGCTGAAGTTCTTCTTTGTATTACATTACATTCCACAACATCTATACCTCTTCATCTGTCTGTTCTCTCACATGCTCTTGCTCAGACACGCTGGAAGCATCGTCATCTGTTTGCTCACCCGAGTGATACAACATCAGTGCATGTGTCTTATGAGTTATGGTAACAGTGCATGGCCCCTGAGCCCACGGCTCTCCATCCACCTGCATTGGCATCTTTGAACTCTTCAAGATCAGCTAGTATTAAACAGAAGAACACACAATCACAGCAGTTCAATGTAGCTCTGAAGATACCTTTTATAACTACAACGTACTGATGTTGCACAGTTCGAGACTAGCCAGGGAGAAACTTAATACATAATTAGTTGTACTCATAGGTTACCAACCACAGCAACAGAGGATTGCTAATTATAACATAATTAAATTTATTACGCAAAAGAAGCATCCTGCTCAACTGCAAAGTGCAACTTTAGAACATACAGCTGAGTGCTTGAAATTGTATGCTGTGTATTGAAAAAAAGATTAGGGAAAACAGGTTTATAAATAGTACTTACCCTTACTGTATGTGCCTGCCCTAGACGAACAGGATTTGCTAGTTTCACCTGAATCTGGGCACAGTGGAAAGAACCGTGAACTCCAACAACCTCCAGAAGTCCATCGTCATGTCTATGAATTAAGAAAGCAGACCTTTTAGTGATGTTCATGAACTCTGAGATGCCCATTCAAATATTAGTCTTTTCTCTGTTACTATAAAAAAAGACAACTGTTAATCTACAAATGTTTGAACTATTTATTTCCCGGTGAATAAGTCACACTGAATAGGAAGCGCAGCTGTACAAAAGCAGGCCAAGTACAGAGCAATACTCTGGTTGGTACACCCTACACAGTTACTGGTGATCACAGATATATTATTCTCCTAGACTCGAAGTGCATATTTAAGGCCTTTGGTGGATTTCCACTTCAGAAATTTGAAAATTTTTGTCTTGCTGTCTTTTTAGGCAGTTATTAATCCACAGGAAAATATTTTAATTGCCCCCACCTTTTTTTTTTTTTTTTTTTAGATTTTGGTAAAGAACTTTGGCCAAATAATTTTAGAAATGCAGCCTCATAAGCATTTTCTAAAGAAGGAAGTCACAGGAGGGCAAGTCTCATGTGCCCACAATTCAGCACTGCTGCAGCCAACTTATATCCATTTCAGACTATAAAAGAACATGTCTTAATACAAATTAAAATTTAGAACAATAATAAGGTAACAAAAATTTGACTTCCATGATGTAAGTATCTTCTACTTTTTGAAGGCTATTTTCAATAGTCTTTTCAACTCTATTGCCTAATCAGGCCAGACATTTTGAGAAGGTCAAACCTGATGCATGGGATGCACTTAGCTCTAGTCTCTAACAAAAAGAATCCTGACTTTCAGACAAGACTTATTACGTAAGCATAGCCTAGTGGGGGGAATTGTTTACACTACAAGAACTGTTAAAAAAAAAAAAAAAAAGAGGTATTGCATACCTTGCCAAGGGATAAGGTTCATCACCCATTCCTTCCCAGAGCCTACAGCCACCTCCCCAATATCCAATGTTCAGGACAATGATGCCTTCCAAATTGGGCAACTCAATTCTCTCACCATCCAACTCTAGCTTTAAAAGACAAACAGAAGTTAATTACCATGAATGAAATTCAGTACTTCAACATAAGCTAATTATTCTCTTTGTCTAATAGGCCTCCACTTGAAGAAAAAAACATCTGTGAGCAAAATCGGCCCTGTACAAATATAATGTTTTCTTTCCATACTTAAAAAAAAAAATGATTTCTGACTTCACAACCTGTAATCAGTTTCTGTTAATAGAGAAAAGAAAAATGAACTGTCACTTATTTAAGTCTCTAGATTCTACTACAGATTTCATCTACTACTACAGATTTAATCTCAGTATCTGTCTACTACAGATTTCATCTCAGTATCTGTATTTGAACTCAGAGATCTGAGTCAAGACCAGAAAAGTTTTTAGTAATTTTCAGTAAGCTCGAAGGCATGAATTCCACAAATAAAGTTGCAGATAGCAAAGAAGCCTGGAATATCAAAAAAATTCCAGAGTCCAGAGCTATCTCACACAAGTATCATGTAGATGTAAACTGCACAGTTTTTTTCCTTTCCTTTCACAAGATAAATTTCTCTACTTCCCTGACTGTCCAAAGAAAAAGCAAGTTAAAAAACTTACCTCAACTTTCTTGTTAAGATCTTTACATTCTTGTACTAAGCAGTCTTTGGTTCCATAAAAAAAATAAACAGCCTGCAAAACAAACAAAAGGAAAGAAGAACAGAAAGGACTGTTAAAAGAGACAGTTAGTATGAAACCTATTTTAAATGCTCATGTATAGTTATGGTTCTTCAAAGCTTATCATCTAAAATACATATGTAACATTTGCACAAGGAAGCTGTGCAGAGAAATTATATCACTACAGTTCATTAATATCTGAAGACATTTTGTTTCAGAGTAATGCAGTCCCTGACTAAGAGTCCTAAGGGCTGAAAATCCAATAGAAATTAAGATGAAACTAAGATTTAATTGCAATAACTTCTGTCACACTATGCAGAAAAATAATCATGCTGAGTCTTTAAAAATAGCCTTAAGTCAAGTCAGCAACTACAAGGTGAAAGTGTCACTTTACCGAACATACCTTATTAATAATTCTGCTGGAAAACAGAGACGGAGTCTTCTCACGATGAGCATGGAAATTTAAAGCCATCAGAGCATCAGGTCCTATAGAAAAGTAGTTGTTCATTGTGAACACCTGTAAGAGAGAATTTCTATTTATGACCTTCTGAAATATTATTAGGATTTAAAAGCCACTATGTTTAATGGGAAGTAGGTAATCAGAAAATGATACAGATATTCCACAGAACCCATATTTATAATCACAAGCCATACCTTTGGTTTCCTTAGGTTATAGTATCCTTTGTTTGTTACCTGAACTTTCCATCTGAAAAACAACAGCCATTATTTAGATGCATGGCAGGCAAACTATTCTCACTTAGTATCAAAGTTGTAGTTCAGAATCTCAAAAGATTCAGATTTAGCTACACTATAAAAGAGTTAAGCACTTCAAAAAAACTAAATGAAGACTACTTTTGGACCTCAGTTATTCTGCAGTTCCCTAATCCACTGTGTACTTTACATATACTGCTTTAGTGGCGTAGCAGTAGACCTACAGTAATATTTGGTTAAATAGAATTTGTCTTTTCACTGTTACTTACCTGTCTAGTTTGATTCCATCTGCCTCCATGACATTTCGTAAGATTTGTTCTACAGGGACTTCTCCAGCATAACCCGCACCCCAGCCCAGTGTATTAGACAGGTCATTACCTGTTCCCAGAGGTAAAATAGCAACTTGTGGAATAAAGCGTTCTTGCCCCTAGGATACAGAAACACTACATATTAGCTTTATTTTTAGCATAATTTTCTACCTTCTAAAAACAAATGTTCAAGTCTGACAAACAATCTTCAGATCAGCTTGTTACATAGTGCAGTACAGCTGGCAGTATTAGTAGAGCAGATGGCCCATTTAAGTACTTATGGTAGTGATAATGTACAGAAAGGAAATGTGAAACCATTGTGAGGAGAAAAATTAAAAAAAAAAAAAAAAAAAAAGGAAACAATGCATTACTGATACTCAACAGAGCATCCCCTCAGAAGAATGAAGCTTTGGAACTAGAAGCAGAAGCCTGAACTTCTCATCCGATTTCCTAATTTTCTACTTGTTGCAACCATGGGTATGAGTAAGTTACTAACAGTATTATTGCATATACCTCTGGGAAAGTGCTCTGCAATGAATGCTAAGAGACAAAAAGAACACACACGGCTGTGGACCATAATAAGCAACAAAAAGGCTCTTAGAAGATTGATGTTAGTTCTAAAAAAACTGATGCATGTAATACTAGAGCATTTCAACTGTGGACAGAAATTCACACACCCAAAGTAAAGTCAGTATCTAAGTTTCTGAATTGCAATAAACACACACAAATTTATCTGTCACGAACAGATTGAGCAGATGATAATTACCTCTGATCACACAGCAAATATCAGAAACAAACATTCAAAACAGCCACTTTAGCAAAGATCTTTGCCCTCTTTACCAGAGAAGCATGAACAATTGTTTCAGACATACTATGACCTTTGACATTCAGCTGTGAAAAATACTTGGAAAATGTAGCATTACGGTTACTACTTTTCAACAGGAGGTTTCTGCCAGGCAACCTGGATTTGAGAGTCAAGATAAATGAAGGGAGCACAATCTACTGCTGATAATCTTAACAGTATCTATGTAACTCCAATGCCTCAATTGAATATCTGTTTTCTTTGCTACCAGGTTTCATCAACTATATTGGCTCTGGGGACAATATATCAAGTTTCCAAAACCAAATAACCACATACCCATATTAGTTAAGCTTTATAGTTCTACTTTGTTCCATTTCCACTTTATCGGTACATAAAAAGTCTCAAAGAAGCTCAATTTGATTGTGCATGGAGTTGTAATAATGGCCTTCAACAACAACATTTCATGCATTAACATGAAAGCAGCATCAAAAAAATAAAGCTACTAAAAACGCTGCAATTGATTCACAGCCAAAACAGACAAAAAAAGAGATATTGATAAAGGAAGACATTCTTTTATCACTAGAGAAAAAGATTACTAGGTAAAGTACAAGAGCCCTGGTAGTTCTTTACTTTCAATCTTCTCATGGGTTCTTAGCAGTACTCTGTAAATTGGATTATCTTCCCTTTCAAATCAACATATTTTTTCTATTTGTTGTTAATGGATCAGTGCAGACTGATAGGTTATTTAGAATACACCATAAGTAGTAAAAGCACATTACAGCCCTCATTTATGCACTGGCAATATAACCACTGTAGCTGGCAAAAATTACGAGGTTATTATAAAAGTGCTTTGGGATAAATAAACAGAGCAAGTCAGCATTACTAATAATGGCTACTGATAGCAAAATATATCTGTTTAGACAAAGAGGAAAGAATAATGTATAAAATACTCTGCATCTGTTCTTTTCTTGTTCTACAGAAAAGAACAAATTTAAATACATTTTTAATTCTAAAGCTTTTACTTATTTTTCTGAGCTACATGAAAAGATGCATTATTACAAGCTGTTTTTGCCCTGATAAGCAATTCTGCAAATATTTTTCTGTATGCTTATTCAGGAAGATGAAAAATATAAATGCAGGTAAAAGACTAAAGTGTAATAATTCAGCAGCTCCAAAACTCATTTCACCATAACATATCCTTTCATTTAAAGCACAATACCTTTATCTTCATCTCATCGATTGCATCCAGGACCCAGCCTACTGTACCATCCCCACCACAGACAAGAACCCTGACAGCATTGCAAGGCAGTAAGGTACAAAGTTGGAGTGCTTTAGCAGGCGTAGTTTTGCTTAGATCAAAAACCTAGAATAAAGGAAAATAGAGAGTCTCATAGGTTCACGAAATATGAGTCATGATTTGCCTCGTAGATAAACAACTTCAAGATGTTTATTCTAATGTAAAACAAACATTCTCTATTTATAATATTACATAAGCAATTAAGCTGTTTTGATTTTTATGAGCAGGATGTGGCCTGAAGTCACAAAATAGCTTCAGCTGCTTCACTAGGAATAAAAGCCATTGATAAATCAAGCTGACCAAGTCCTAAGAAAAGTCTGTATCTAGTAACATTTTCATGAGTTTTGTTAAGATGAAAGGCTTCAGATAAAAGTTACTTTAAAATATTCAGGATACAAAGAGGTTTATTTTGTAAAGCCTTACTGGGATGTATTTAAAACAAATGTGTAGTGTTTTCTGTTAGTCTGTATTCTAAGATTCAGTTTTAAACTTCAAAGGGAGAATATTAAGGTACAGCCAGGAAATCCAAGGAACAACTAATTGCCTTAACGTCAACATCCTGTGCCATCTCAAGTGGACTTTAAAGGGAAAGCAACAGCACAAAACAGCAATTGTAAACACCAATATTTTCACAAGTAAAGTGAGGATTTAAACACATGTTCCAAATTAAGATTTAAATATTGCAATTTCTAAAAAAAAAAATATTGTTAATAAGTACATGACTATCAAAGCAGAATTACTATGTGTATTATTATAAATAGAAAACTGCACAACTATTAAAAGAACCAGAAAAAAAACATGGAAGTGGGGGGACCTCTGAATTTTTATTCTGCACACAACCTTATTCTTTCTAAAACAACAAACTGCATGAATTTGTTTCCTTTACTGACCTTCCAGAAGATCCTACTACTATTATGGAAGCAAAGTGATGCTGATTCTAACTTAAACTGTTATTTTGTTATAGTGGTTTTTCACTGTAATTACCTGAACAGGGTTCAGCAGAATTTTAAATTCTCCCAGTAAAATCTCACCCATGTTGTTTCCACTACGAGTATTAGCCAGTACGATTACTGGGATCCAGTGTTTTCTGCCATAAGGTACTATCTGCAAAAAGATGACGGTAAGTCACATAACACTGCATGTTTGAAAATGTCTAAAGTCTTGCTTCGTAATCAGTTCCCTCCAAATGCTGAAATGAGGAAGTTACCAATTAGTCTGATGTAGTCAAAACAAACAAATACTTTCAACACAAAGGCTGAAGATTTGTTCTACAGTGCTTGGGAGAACAAATGCTACAGTGTTATAAACTCATTTTTTGTTATGTAAAAAAAAAAACAAGCCAAAACAAAACTTCCTACATCTTTATCAAGTTTTCCAGTTTCATTAAAAAACAGAAGCAGAAGCCAGACAATACATTATAAAAACAAGAAGCAGAAGGCAATTACCTTTTCATAATCGGTTCTTTTGTCTTTACGTAGCTGGTTGACTGTGGACAAGTAATATGGTGGAATAATTAAGTCTTTGAATTCTCCAAATGTACATTCCTCAATCTTTAAACAATCCAGCATGCAGTCATCATGTACAGTGCACTGACACCATACACATCTGGAAAAAGAAAAAACAACTGAAATCCTCACACAAATGACACAAATTTTGCTTATGTATTTTAGAAAGAGAAACTAACTTCTAAGAACTACTTATGTTTACATGTACTGTTATAAGTGATATTTTAAGCACATTTTAGAGAAAAGCATGCATTCTCTGGAAGTTGAAGCAACGATGTATTGGCTACAGAAAATTACATAACTTGATCATGTCCTCAAAAGTCTAGAAAAACAGTTGAATTTGTTAAAATAAAGATACCAGTTTTAAATTAACTCTGACTTTTGGTGTTAAAAATAAGTGCTACAAATACCGTATTGCACTGTATGCAGCAGTTACACTGAAAGCTTGGATGAGAAACTGAATTCCTATCCATTCTTGGAAAGCACATACTAGAGTTCAGTTTAATAATTTCAAGTGTTACTAATACCATGAATTGACTTTGGTGATAAATTTCCCAAAAGTGATAATACCCGTAGGTCTGAAACCTAAAAGGTTACACGGTACTGAGCAAGGCTTATGGGATTTTGCTATGCAAAATTGCTCAGCTTTTTGACCTACTCTAAGAGCTGCCCTGGCAAACAGACTAGAACAAGAGGGAACACTGCAATACCTCCTGCCAGCCTCTGCAAAATGTTAATCTTTATTTGCTACATCCAAAGCCTTGGTTTAAGCAGCTGTGAAAGCTATTTTTGGAGTCCTTCTGCTTAATCCAGCACACAACTAGAGAAGCGATGATACTTGCCCTGTACTGTAGACAGTGACTATTGTCAGCTATTTTCTGCTTCTTTTCTCATTCTTCCTCCTTTTGCTTACAGAATCCTGTTCCTTTCCTGCTCTCATAGACATGCTCTCCCTTTCTCAAGGTTTTGTTTCTGACAATATGCTCACGTATAATGGAATTCTGCTAACTTACCATGCAATTTCCCAGTATCACGCAAATGTAGAGCAAAAGCAGACACCCTTTAAGAATGCAGAGGTCACACTCTACGCAGGATGTGCACCACGACCTCTGTGTTCTAGCCTAACATGTCACTATGTGCCATGCCGACAACTTTACAAGCAGCCTTGCTAATGACAGTATGAGCCTTTCAATTTCCTAAAGCTTTTTTATCATTCTTACTACAAACCGTAACAATGGATTATATTGCAGCAACTTTTATGAACTTCCTATTAGCTTCTTTTGAGCAGCCTTAAAAAGGTAAAAAACAAAAACAAAAAGCACCAGTTATAGGAGGGTTGTTTGTTCTAGCTGCACTAAGCAGATGCCAGTTTTGCAGAGATGCATGCACATTTTGGCAATCTGAAATGCGCACTATGCCACTGAAATTGCTCAGGCTATTCACTGTATAAACGACATGTGTGTTAGATCCTTTTTAGGTCTGTCCCATAAAAACATAAGCTCTCTTCGACATTGCCTTTTAGAGGTAATTATACGCTAGCTAGCACATCATTATGGAGAAATGCAAGCAAGACAACAAGTAGACCGAAGATGCAATATCCTGCCCGTAACTTATGAGTCAGGTAACCCACAGGCACCCACTTCATTTTAGGTTCTCTCAAATTGTTTTTGTGGCAATGTGTTCTTAAAAGACTGCAGTTAATTAAACATGGATGTAGCATCACACTTCCACATACAAAACCAAACTCCCTTGCAGTACCTGTAGTCGCAGAGTTTGGGCTGTGTGCCACACTGTTGTTTGCATACCACACAGTAGCTGCAGAGTGGGACGTTGCCTCTGATCCAGTGATGCGGCATAGAGCTGTGGGCTCTACCATCGCTCCTCATCATAATTTCCTTGCAGAGAAAGTGCTGGTCAGCCTTCTTTAGGCATCCTTCACTGACACGCAGCCCACAGCAGTTGCAGAAAGCACCCTGGAGGATGTGCTGAGCACACACGCAGCAGTAGGAGGGCTGACCAAAGAGATCGGTGTAGTGCCAGTCGTGTTTGCTCTTGCGAAAGATGTCACGTATCAGCACCTGCCGCCGGGACCGCTGGAAGCTGCACCACAGCGTGATCAGCACCGGCACGATGACGGAACACAGAGTCCAAAACACCAAGCTCCAGTCCGCGACGACAGAGGACGAGGAGGAAGAGCTGCTTCTGCCCTCCGTGCCCGCCATTCCTCGTCCAGCAAGGTCTTCCCAGCCTAACCCCTCAAGAAGACAGCCGGGCGAAGCCGGGAACGGCTGCCTGGGCCCAGCAGCCAACGAGCAGCTTCGTGAAACATCTTCTAACCCCTCCCTCAGCACCTCCGTGCCCTCAGGGCCGGCACCCAGCAGAGGGATGCCGCTGCTGGCCTCCTACCAGGGGTTCTGCCTCCGCCTAGCACAAGGCCGTCCGCCCCCCGGCACGGAGCCCCCGGGGACTGCGGCTCCTACGAGGGCCCCGCGCCTCCCCTCAGGCCCCTCGGTGGGGGAGGCCCAGCCCCGGGCCGCCCCCCCTCAAGCCGAGACCATGCGCTGGGGGCCTCCGCCGCCGCCCTCCGACCTCCCTCGCCCCGTGCCCGCTTCCCTCGGCTGCTGGCGGCCGCTGCTGGCGGCGGCGGCTCCTCGGGGCCGGGGCCGGGGCCACACGGGGCCGAGGGGCTCCGCTCCGCGCCGGCGGCCGCCGGGGATGCGCGGGGTGCAGGAAGCGGAAGCGGCGGTTCCCAGGCAACGGGCGCCGCCCGGAAGTGGGGCCTGGCCGCCACCGGCTTTGTCGCGACTGTCGCGACTTGTAGAAAGGGGCGGGGCTTGTCGCAAGTGCCCCCCCCCCCCCGACGCTGGTTCGCCCTTCGCTGAGTTTTATCCCTTTGTTCGCAGTGTTTGTCCCTTCGCTGCCCCACCCGTAGCGGCTCTTTGCTCATAAATTCTTTCACGTGGTGCTGGGAAGCTTTCCCGGGAGCAGTTCTAAAAATAAAGCAATGGTTGCTATTAATAGAAACTACAAGTTTTTTTCAGCTATGACAACAAAATACTTCACAGTTACTTAAATCCATACAGTACACATCACATCTCTTGGATTTTAGGTTGTCAGTACCTTAAAACATGCTGGAAATGCACGCACCGCACAGTTGGACAATCCTCATGTTGACATTAACATGAGTTCCGTGACACGATGGGATACAGAACCCAGGAATTATCCATTGTTTCTTTCAAGGCCCAACTACTGAGCTGCTCTGCTTTGTTTTCGTCACCTAATTCAACTCTGGTCCAGTCCTCACACCTGTGGCACCCCACGTTAGCTCACGGCTCACAGGCTGATACAAACCAACGTGGTACTGACGTCAGCAGCTGAACTTAGCCAGCCCAGTGAGCTGAGGAGAGGTCTCTGGTGTTCATTGGAGCCCCTGGTGTTCACCAAAGCTGAGCTCACCCTGCAGGTTTCTGGTCGAGCGGCACTGACAGCACCTCAATCTGACCCGTCTGTCTGATTTCCTGAAACTTTCTGTTTCTTAGTATTGTTGCAACCCACAGCTTTCAGCCAGGTTTCGCTGAAACTGACTGGTTTGCTCAGAAGCCTGTGAACACAGAAAATGCTGCACAGACACAACTGCTTGAACACTGCTTCTCCACGGAAAGAAAAAAGGCAGAAACAAGAAGCCCTGCTCAGGGTCTAGGCTGGCAGCCTGTGGTGCAGCAGGGATGTGGATGTGCTGCACCTTTCCCTCTGAGGGGAAAGGCTACTTGCTCATGTCCTTTGTATGGGAGCGGCTGATGAATTCTGACTGTTTCAAAGGATATATTCAAAGGGATGTGTATTTATTTCCCTACAATTTGGTGATGCTGGTGCCCTACGTCCAGAATAGTGCTGCTCAGATGTATGGCCAGTGACATTTCTGAAGGTAGAAACTAGCTCTCTGGAAACATCTGTTAAATTCACATTCATAGTTCACACTGTATTAAATAGTGAGGTCATTTATAATCCCATTTTCCACTAACTTGTCCTGAAAAGAAGAATTATGTGAGTTTTCATTTCTATGATTCTATTAATTTGATGAAAATCTCTCTTTGTATTTCCACAGTGGTAGTTTGGCTTTGCTAGAGTTAAATCAGGTTAATACATACTTCTGTGCTGGAGTAAAGTTAGAGAGAGGAATTTTTAACAAAAGGCCCCTTCTAAGATTAGCATTCAGTAATAGGCAATTGTGTCTTTTAAAAAGGGATTGTTTTTTTTTAGGCACCTGAAACCATGGCTTGCTATGCTAAATGAAAGGTAATGTGTCCTATTTTCACAAATTTAAAATATCCAGCATAACTCAGAAACCTGAAGTGGAAAAATAGTCTTCTATTTTCTTTCCCTCAGGAACAGAGTTATGCTGAGAATGTTTGAACAGATAATAGCCATATTCAAAACTTCAGGCCAGATGTCTTCAAAATCATACTATAAGTCAAATTAGTTAAAGCATAAACAAACATTTGTGACTGACGTAGCTACTTCAAATAGGCTAATGCCTCAGTCAGTGTTATTCATTTTGGAACAGACTGAGAGAAAGCAGAATCAAAATGAAGAAGTTACTTGTGTTTATCTTCTTTCTGGTCCTCATGACCACTTTTACAGGTAGGAGTTTATATAAAATAAAACTGTATATGTATGTAACTATAGAGTATAGCTGCAGAGCATATTAGCATAATATTAGTAATTTGTATTTTATTATCTTCATATTTCATTTTTAATATTTAACTATTTTTATATTACAGGCTTGACATGATTTGTTTTTTAACAGTTGTGCTACTGTATTAGATATTCTATTCTCTGCATTAGCACACTGCAGTCATTTATTTTAAAACCAAAATGCTTTATTTTATGAGCTTACAATTTTAATATCATTTTACCAAGGTCCTGAAAGTTAAATGTTCAATTAAATCTCTCCTTTGCAACAAATTCTAACTCACTACTTAGACAAATAATTCTAAAAAGTAAAGCAATGCAGAAAAGAACAAAGAATTGGAAGAGTTACGAATGTTATTGGTTAGATGGTGCTATTATATTTTCTCATTTTAGATAGTAACATTAATATGTACAGTTTGTTTCATACTGATAGAACCAAACTATAGAAAGCCCAAGTTAAAAAAAATGGTTTAAAATTCCACTAATATCGCCTGGAATGCAATATCCCCTGGGAAGGGGCTGTAATGAAAGGACACTTTGTATATAGACAAAAATAAGGTTTGGAGACATTTGGTTTTACAACTGACAGGTAAAACATTAACTTTATCATAATTTCATAACTAATTTCTGCTTTTCCTTAGACACTTCACCAATTTTGACTGAAAAGGAAGCCAAACAGATTCTGAGAACTCGTCGTGAAGACAGACAAAGAAAAGCTGGTTTCCCTGATGAGCCAATGAGGGTGATTTATGATATTTTTAAATTACATTAACTATATTAAAAGAAAGAAAGAAAGAAAGAAAGAAAGAAAGAAAGAAAGAAAGAAAGAAAGAAAGAAAGAAAGAAAGAAAGAAAGAAAGAAAGAAAGAAAAAAAGAAAAATGTGCTTAATATTAGATTTCTATACATGTAATTCTAAGCAGTAAGTTATGAATGTCACCTTTTAAAGCAGCTGAACTCTGCGAAATATTAAAAATCTCCTTTGCATTCTTTCAATTACTGTCACATAGCATTCTGAAAGTGCTGAACATTGCTCAGGAAGCGTATGCTTGCAGAACGTGGAAATTATTTATCACGGTTCAAAAATGCCGATTAAATTATTGAGAAGAAAGTGGCTTTTCATTTCTAGAAATGTGGAGTTCATCAGGTTGTTCCTGAAAAACTAAATAACAGGAAATGTCTTCCACTTACAGTACATTCTGCACTCAAGGCAGAAAGGAGATGCAGGTGTCAGTGGTCAGTGTGGAGATTGAGGTAGTTTTAAACTAGCTGTTAAAATCACTTACTTTCATTCACTTTTATATGAATGCTACAGATTGGATAGTTTGTTACGGCATTGTAGGCATTTTTAGCTGCTAGCTTAATGCAACAGCATTATTTTTTCAAGTAATATTTACATTTATTAATTTCTAAACTATTTTACAACAAAAGAAATAAATAAAAGAATTTAGAAGGCTTCTGTTTTACTTGCTTTGACAAGATGTAACATATAATTCTGCACTTCTCAAGAGCCACTTAAGGTATTTTAAAATTAGTGCCTATTTCTTTCCAAAGTAAATAAACTGTGCAAGAATTACATGGTTCTGAAGAGGCAAAAACCACAGAAGCCAGAAAGCACACAATAGATTGTGCATGTATGATGAATACAAGGAGCTCAGTTTAGCAAGGTGCTGAATGAACACTTCTGAACTCCATAGGGCATGAAGAGCGCTATACACCCATAGGGCATGAAGAGAACTATATACCTCCCAAGACTGAGCTCACTGTCTGCCAGGCTTGCGGAGACAGCAAGTGGTTTTCTCTTTCCTATAGTTAGTGGCTGGCTATACACCACTTCTGATGTACGTACTTTGTCAACCGTGATGTCCAAAACAAATCAAAACTGTCACAAGAATATTACACTATGCTTGTTAACAATCTTGTACAAGTAATGCTATACAACAGAGCCAAGAAACAAGTAGGCATGGGCTTTACGACAGCCGACAACATTCAAGATTGGGTTGGTTTCCATGCTGTTGTTAAGTAAGCCTTGTAGTTTTCACAAATTGGTGGGAATACATCCCATCCATGCTTATGTTTGGTATACCCCCAAGATTACATAGTACATTATATAGTAAATATCTTAAATATAAAATAACTAAAACAGAGAAGATGGATCAAGTTACATTCTGTATTACAGGCAGTTACACTTGTACATGTGGAGAGTAGAGGGAATTAAGGCTAGAGAAGCATTTGATTACTGACCTCTGCTGCTATATCCTGGCCACTTTCCATCCTACCATGATTGGACTGGCATACACTTTGTTGAGCTCTCTTTTGATGAGAAATTACAATTGATTTTTTTTTTTTTCTATACAGCAACACTCTCTTTCTGTAAGAAAACCCAAACACAAAGTATTTGTTTTTCTCACTAAATGTCAAGATTTTCAGTAGAAAAGGAAATATCTTTCAATAAAAAATCCATCCCCCCTGCCACGTTGAACATAGAGATTTACCTCTGTGAATGAAGGGTCATGGCCACTGTATCCCTGTGCACAATTCTACCACAGTCTCAAAGAGAAAAACTGATTTTGCATGGATTCCTTGTACAGAATGAAGTTAGTGCTGGGATGAACCTGCCTCTGTTCAGCTATTTTAAGCAAAAACTGTTTGTACTAGGCCAGATCATGCTGAGCTAGGGAATTTAATTTGCAATTCTTTGTGAAACAGTTTGACTTCCACAGTGCTGTTTCACTAAAAATGCCTGTTCACTTACAGACAACAAGATTTGCCATCTCTTATTATTTAAAAATGTCATTTATGATATTAGCATATTTTAATCTTCCTTTGACCGAGGCCCTACTTTTATCATGTAGCATCTTCATGGTCGTATAGTCCTGTTCTATTCAAGTTCATGATGCAGCTTCACTGAGGGTTTTGAGCCAAGTTCCTTTGCATGGTGAGGAACACAGAGCACAGTATACGGCAGGACACCAATGCTTCCTGCTGCTGTTCTGTGCACCAACCCTCTGAGCAGCTCAAAGAGCAGAGAACTGGATGACAGCAGGAATACTTGGCCACTGTAAAAGGTTTACACTACAGCTTCCATTGCT